GCGACTGCGCCTCGGGCAAATTTCACGCCGATGCGATGCCACTGTTGCCACAGCTACCAGCTTAGCTGAATAGACGAAGCAGGACAGCGAACTGGCTGGCTGCGTCTGCGCGCTTTGTCAAGGCGACTGAGAGGCGTGCTGAGCAGTCGAACGGTAGAACAATTCTTATTTTTCTGGCCTTCTTCAACTTCTTCATCTGATTTTCAAACATTCCATATTAAAAAGCTTTGCTTGTCGTGTACAACTTTTCACATTTCGTGGAAAAATTTGGAAGCGCGATTCGCGCGTGGATTGCAAATATGTGCTCAAGAAAGAGCAATACTAGGCTGCCAAGTAAGGCAAGGCAAGGCAATCGTTAGAGTGATCCTTCTAAGCTTACCGCGACGACACGAACAGCTTAAAGCTTGCAGGCAACCATGGCCTCATCGAAACTTAGACTCACGGTAGTATTCCTTTGAGACGGGCAACTTCCGTTTTCTTAGGCTATACAGTATGCGAGAGAGACAGAGCTTTGCGAATTCGCTTGGTTTACGTTTCGGCTCTGTACTCTCGTGTCACCATCCACCAGTGACCTAGATTTATATACACCGCTTTTGTCGGAAAGCAAACTCGCAAACGCACCGCTATTTACTTTAGTTTTTCTTTTACCCAGATGACCAATTATCAATGACACTCCCACAGATTTTCAACGTATTTTCCTATTTTTATGTCCAAATAATGCTACTTTTACTTTTCTTCCTACTGTGCTTATAACTGTTAACAAGACATTCTTCATGCTGAAATATCAACGCTGCGTCAATATTGTCTTTGCATTTGGACTTGCTACGTCATGTATACTTTGCAAGTGACAGAAAACACACTCAAAAAATATCGAAGCGAACAGAGCATTGTCATTTATGAAAATCTTTGGTAAATATTAAGTTGAAAAATACTTTTCGTTTTTATGAAATATCGCAAATTATTCGAGTAAATAACCAATTCACCAGTGCGTTCATTTGAAAATAAGTTAGTTGAAATAAATAACTTTTTTTTATAAAAGATGGAATTTATTTGCCGATTGCACACGCAATATAGTTAAATTAGTGCAAGTATGCAACATCAAAACTTTTTTCATTCTATCTTTGAAGCAGTTCGATCAACTCTAAGTATATCAAAGCCATACCACCATGTTTTCACACAACGATAAAGCTGGACAAAACTTGAGCTGGAAAAGAAAAGCTCAGGCGTCAACGACGGTAAGTAGAAAAGACCAATTAAAAGTTGTTTAATTTGTTGAAAGAATTGCGCGAGTCGCGCGTGTGTGTCTGTATATATATATATATATATATATATATATATATATATATATATAGAGAGAGAGAGAGAGAGAGAGAGAGAGAGAGAGAGAGAGAGAGAGAGGCAAAGCACAAAGTTTGAAGACCTACCACGAGTACACTTACAGGCATTATGGCAAGTATACGTAGCGGCTTGCTTCAGCTCATTTTCTTCTTCGACCGCCCTTCGAAAGCCGTGGTGCACCTCTTGGATTTGTGCTTTAATCACTTATTTTTGTAACGCTTAACCAGTTTTATCTCGTTTATTTATTTTCATTTTTCAAGTAATAAAAAAATTTGTCGAGCTCTTTGTAAAAGCTAAAAATTTTTATGAAATATTTCAATAAACCAACTCAATTTTTCCCCCTCAAGAGAAGAAAAACGTTTCGATCTGAGTAGAGACAAACCAATCACGTGCCGACTATCATAAAAATGAGAAACTCGCTCGACCTTCGAAAAGCCGAGTCATATAAGTCAGAGAAAGGCATGAAAGTGCGTTTGAAATTCTCTCTCGCCAAGTACGCGCAACTGCACGACACAGCCACTGGCTTCTCGCCAACCAAGCCAAAGCGACAATGTTCCCTCACAGGTAACGTAAGCACTAACTTCATCTCGAACGCAAGTGACACGGCTTGCGCGCAAACTTGGCGCACTTTAGCTTCTCTCTGGCTCACGCACATACTACGGTCGATCACCTCGAAGTATTGGCTCCAGCTATCGTTGCGCTGTGTGAAAGGTGTTGGACTCATGTCCAATGACGATGCAGCCATTCAAGCGTCAGTGACTCCTTGACATTTCTAGGTCTCTCATCCAAATTACTCAAGGGTTGTATCGACAAAGCTAGTGCAAAGGCAGTGCGTCTGAGTCACCATAAGTATTCCTACAATGGAAGGATAAAGAGAACCACAGATTTTTAATCACCACCAAAAATTATACCTTGCGAGAAAAGGAGAGATTTTTCATGCACGCGCATCAGAACCAGAAACAATTTACTCCGCAATAAAGTTGTCACTCATCACTTAGCCACGGTATTTCCAGCGTAAGCCAACGTGTCGACCACATTTCCCAGTGGAAGTGCAAAACAATTACACGACCGAGCAAGAGAAGAGAGTGAGAGAGAGAGATAGAGAGGGGGGGGGGGAGGGTCGGTAGCTTTTGTAGATGTCGCGTTGAATATTTGAGGTGGACGTTGGCAGCGAGTGAAAATCCACGATATAACGAATAGTCGACAAAGATACGCGAAACGCATCCGCGTGAAGCCGAGTGTAAACTGTCCGTACGCGCGGGCCCATCTTGACATTTCATTATGAACAATGAAGACTTTGCAGCGCATTCGCATATCCCTTGGGAAATATGCTCGGTCCATTAATACGCTCGCCTCTCGTATGCTACCTACAAACGGGATATAAGCTTTGCCCCAGCAGCAACGATGCGCGCAAGCTACCACAAATTATTCATGGACTTCGATTAATGTGCCCGCGTGTCGCACATCAAGAGACACACGCGAATTGACCGTATGATTTTCAAGCAGTTTACCGTACTCGCGCGTTCACTCTCTGGTCTGCGCTGATTCGTCTGTACAGATGATCAATGGCTTTCGAATGAGACTTGTCTAATTTTGAAATTACAACCAGTACCGCAAATTATTGTAATGTAATTTTAAGGGTATCACACGTGTACCACTTTCGATATCAAAACCATCAATGTCAAAAATGAAATTAATATTACACTCTGTAACAATCGATCACTGAAAACAAATAATACTCAAATATATGATTATCATAAGATTTTCAAATAAACGGGTACACGTGTGTTATTTCATCTTCGGCTGCACAGCTGCAAGCTGCTTGACCTTTCAGAGAGTTGTGAGGTGTGCGTGCATATTCATACGTCGCTTGGGTGGGCCGCGCTTTGTATATCCAAAATACGACCACTACAGTATAAGAAGACTCGCGTCATGCGGAGGTCGGCACTTGTAAAGCTACAATGGCTATAAAGCACAGCAAGGTTCACTTCAACTGCAGTCGTAGAGAGATGTGCAGTTTATATGCGCCTTACTTCAAACGAAGACTTTACCGTCGGCATTGATTTTCTCGTTAAAATCATATAGAATGTGTATTAGAATTCATTTCGAAATTCGCGACCAGATGTTAAAATGTGTGTTTTAGACGACTCTGATTGCAAAAATCATATCTATTAGTAACTATTAGTAGCTATAATATTGATTGCTTTTCAAAATTTTAACATACACTGCGAAAAACTTATCCTATACAATCTTATCATTACTGAATCTTTACATAACGAACAAAATATCGTCTCAGCAATATATTGTAACCTTGATATATATATAGATACAGCGTTTCATCGAATATTCGGAATATTGAGAGACAACAAAAAATAACTATCATAAATAGCATCATAGCAATAAGCTAAAAACATTTTCGGATAATATTATTATTTAATATTAATGAACACCAAGAAACATAATAAATAAGGAGAGCCACAATTGATCGGTTGACAGATTCACTTTAACCGATATAGTCCGTATATGCACTAGAGAGAGCTTGACGACTCATAATTACAGCGCGTTGGCGTATGACCAGTATAAGTATACTCGTATATATAACTGGCAAGTAGGTTACGTTCCTAACTGAATTATCATGAAACTCATAAACGACCTTTGGTGTGCTTCGGACTTTCGACTGGCTGTAGAGCATTTAGTACGGCTCAATACATGCTTGATGCCCGGCTATTACGTCGAGGGACTGAATTGTTCAACGTTGATATCGTCGTACAGTTAACCTTTACACGATTAAAAGTCCGAATGTAAAACTTGTTTAGGTGTGCGATTGCATTTAATTTCTGTAAATGGGGCGAGAGAAACGATGTGCCCTCGGATCAAGAATATCAGGCGAACTAGAGTTGCGAAATATTCATATAGTCTGAAAAGTGAGAGAAGGCAAGGTGGGTGCGTGGGAATTCAATTAATAATATCCTCTGAAGTGTCACTAATTTGACATGGGAGCAGGTCATTACTATTGTTCGGAAAATCTGGTAGAGCAATGTATCTTCTCTCTCTCTCTCTCTCTCTCTCTCTCCCTCTCTCCCCCTCTCTGCTTCTCTTGACGTTCAATCTATACGCGTTCTGTCACTCACTCGTCTACCTGTATATTTAACTTACGTACACAAACGAGAGCAGCCAGGCACGTATGAATACGTTTGGAGCCGCAGCCCGTTGGTCGTTTCGCGACGGCACAGACGATTAATTTAGGATAATGCTAATCACTAATTGCTAGGCGCGCAATTGGTGTCGCGAACCCACAGATTCGCTGGATCAGAGCTGCCCCTCTCTCCACTAACGCTTGCGATTAGTCACATTTAGCTCGTCGAGAGTGCGTGATGAATGGAAATTCGAGAGCGCCCACGCGCACAAATCCCACTGGGAAAACAGAACCTGCGTAAGCAAATAGTCCAACAACAATTTCTCTGGCGGTTCGGCTATATTCTAAAATACCGATCGTTAATGATACTTAATTATTAGATTCCACGAGTTACTTACTAGGACACTTACTTTTATTTATTTTTCTTTTGTATTTTGCGTGCTGGATAAGTGGATGGTTACATGGATTTGAATTATCGGGAATTCCACGAGACGAAAATAAGCTACGGAATTTACATATTGCCATTTATTCCAATTGAATTGCGTTTATGGTTCACACTTTCTACCTTTTATGAGAATTTCTCGACCGTCCAAATTATTGTCAGTTTGACAATAATTAAAACGTTAAAATCATTTGAATATCCGAGAGTTCTAAGTACCGTTCCATTACTTTCATTGTATATTGAACTTCGACTAAAATTTATCGACACTGTTCAAACGTAAAATCATTAATAAATATTTATTTTTAATATTCTACTACAAATAAGTAACAATATCTGCAATCTTCAATCTTATATGAGAAGAACTGTAAATTAAATAATTTACCAACAGTTTGAGTCCCTTTGTAGATTTCTAATTGAAGCTTTCATCATCCTAAAGTTGATTTCATCAAGTTTTCGCGATCCATTAATAACTTTTTGTAATCGGATTGAAAGAGCCCATAATTCTTCTTCTCCATTAGTTATCGATTCCGGATAAATTTTCAAACTACTAACGTACTGAAGCCTTCTGTTATCAATAATAATAGAACTCTGCAAAACTCATAAATAAATTAGTGACCAATATATTTCTTTCTGTTTCAGTTACAGTCAGAAATTAAATGTTTCCACAGTGTATTAATCAGGTAAATATTCACAAGTCTAAGAATAGTACTAACTTACCAAATAGATTTGCTCTTGAAAAAGTGTTTATAAAAGATTTGAATTACTTATCTTTATTAAGGATAATGAAGATTAGGAAATATAACTACGGTTAAATGAGAAATGTTTTGTCTTATAAAAATCATTTAATTGTTACTATATTTTCGAATTCGGGATTGATGATTTGTATTCTATTCAATTAATTTTCAATTTGTGAATTGACTTGAAAGACCCTTTTAAATATTTAATAAATAATAGAGAAAAAAATAAAACCAAGGCTTACCATTGGTCGACTATCTCATTAACATTAGAGAGAAAGGTAAGATATAATAAATGTAAATATACTTACAATATTTCCTACATCAGGCGATTTCGAATGATTCCAGCAACTAATTGTATTATCTGCTTGCGCAACCAGCAGAGCTTTTCCATCGATCGTCCATCGGAAAGCTGTCGGCTGCTTCCGCAATACTTCGTAAGCAGCTTCTACTTCCGGTTTTTCTCTTCCGTGAAATACCTCTGCCAACAAGGTGGCATTGAAAGCAAATAAATTACGTGACGCTAGGGGAGCAAATACCAAATAATTTGAATTATGATCCAAGTCCATCGGCACAATTCCGCCGTGCAAAGTAAACGTTTCGCCGGAAATGTTGAAATGCGTTTCATTGTCAACTGGTTCAAATTCAGGCCCCGTTAAACGTACGAAATTCGTGCCATTAAACATTATTAATGCGTAGCCTTCGGAATCCGCCATATATACCTATTAAAAAGATTTAAATTTTATCCCAGTATGCGGGCATATAAAGAATGATTCAATTGTTACTTACAGTTTTGAGTTTACAAGTTTGTTCATCGACATGAACAATCGGCGTAACTAAAACTCCCATGCCATTTTGATCTTGTGAAATATCTTTTGGTATTTCATGCTTTTCTATTAAGCGGTCAGTTCGTAGATCAAATACCAGTAGCTTAGCGTTACAGATCTGCGTGTGATCAATGCGTCCAGTGTCTAATACCCAGAGACGATTGCAACTGTCTATCTGAAATTGAAAACATGGTCGATAAAAATAACTGTATTTAATGCTAAATGTTCAACTGACCGTAATAGAACGAGCATTAGTAATATTATTGCAATTGTTCGAATCCAAAAACCACGTCGAGTTAGGATACGGAGCAAGTAAAGGGCCGTAATCCTCATACTGATTTGTGATTGTTGTCAGGCTCATAGGAACATACGGTGTTGCGATAACAGTGAGGAAAATACGGCCATCTGTTGGGAAAATATATAATTTATCTAGCGTTGTCAAAGTATATAAAAAATGTTGTTGCCTTGTATACCTTCAGCTTTCTCAAAGTCATATGGCACTGCTTTGCTCATGTTGTAGTGTTCGAAAATTTTCAGTGAATCGCGGGTATAATTAACTTGTTTCCATTTATAGACGGTTACTAACTCGGAGTCAGTGACTTTCGTCAGCAGAATAATCAAAAAGAGAAAATAGTAATAATTCATTCCTGCTAAAACTGCGACTCTATTAACTCTCGAACTATGCATTCACTGACTTATATGCTGACTTTCGTGCTACTGAATTTCAGAAAGTATAGAGCGATAAGATAAATTAGACTGAGATTGAAGCGTTACATTTAACGGTCAAGACGTTCATATTAGTCATCGAATAATGATGTCACAATGATTCATAATAACATTACGCTTGGAATTTCCATAATGTTGAAGGCTAATTTTTACAAAAAGCATATGAAAGTTTTGTGAAGCAATGAAAAACGTGCATCTGACACTTACGCAAGAAAATTGAATGTCAGAGTCAGAGTGGATTATTTGCTGCCGATGCATACGTAAATCACCTTGTTGACTTTTCCTTCGGTCTACGTGCAGCTTGGAGTGTAGCAATGATGATGCTGCCAGCTGCTGCTACATCACTGAAACAATATCGCGGCCCAATCAGTGTTTGCTCTTTTTCGCGCTTGTCTTTTATCATTATTGGTATTTCACAATTACATCCGAAATTCATGACTACGAGATGGTTTTTTTATCTCTGACGTTGGAAACTGGATTGCTACGCGTAGTAAAATGTCGTTATGTTTTTACATTATTTACTGGAAAATCCGGAATAATAGTTGAAAATTGATGTTCGCAATATTATTATTGAAAAATAACGCGACAATGTATCATGAAAAAACTTTCCTCGTTGCCATCAGTCGATTTGCACGACTATAAGAAAAGAAAGAACTTTGAGCAAACGACTCGATAGTTTCAAATTGCACAGCTTAATTTTACGAATAGCTGATAATCTCATAGAGCCTGTGGCTCTGCGTTACGAGAAACTCGTTGAATTTGAAAGTTGCGGCGCCACAGTGAGGCTTATCGAAAGTTTGCCCCGCGTCGTATGAAAACTGGCGCGTGCGCGCGAGACAAAGCTTGGAAAAAGTAGGACAACGTCTAATTAGCAGGTGAAAGTTGAAGAAAAAAAAGCCTTGGCGGGTAAATTAATTAAAGGCGCGAAAGCTCGAAATTACAGCAAAGCGGCGCGCATAACGGCCTTAGCAAAGAGGGAAAAAGGATAGCCGAGCTCTCTGATAAAAATGGTGCAATGCCGTTTTAGCATTAATACCATATTAGCCGTGGAAGAAGAGAAAGAAGAGAAAAGGAGGTTATTCGACCTTAGAGCAGCCTTAAATTTTACTTTCTACGCGCAAACTGTTAAAAGCAAAGTTGTTTGCATGCTTTGTTTTATCATTTTATCATGGTTAACGTAACGACCGCTGTAGGGTGCACCTGCATTATTACACCCACTTCTAGGGGCTTCATTCTTAGCGATCTATCCTTTATATGCTCCTCTTCCACTATTTCTTTCTGCGCAGCTGCGTGAACAAAGATTTTTGCAGTCCGTCAATGATCAATCGAACAATAGAACCAAAGCCACCAATGGAACGAAAATCTAAAGCTGAAACGAATAGTCGTCATGGGTTATCATAGAAAGCTTGGAAAAGGATGCAAAGATCGTCGATTTCGATGCAAAACACGAAGTGAAAAAAAGAAAAAAAGGAAGCGAAAACCTGAACCGAAAGCGCGCCCGAACTATTCGTCGTCAATTGAAATAGCAATAGGGTTATCTCGCATTCGCGAGGGCAGGCCAACAATTGTCACGCGTATCTGACCCGTCACACAGAGCGTATTAATTAAATTTGCGAGAGCCATCCCGTCGGTCGCCTGTCACAACAATGCCTGCCACATAGCCATTTCCTCGCGCGACAATACATAAAACACGGACAATTCGCTAACTCGTATTCTCTCTACGCGGAAACGTCGTTCGTCTACTCGTCGAGACAACTGCTCAAGCGCGCATATCCTTCAACTACATATAATCGTGCACATACGCGCACTTGATCGACATACCACCGCCACGCCTCACGCCTCTTCCCAGGAGACTTGCTGTGAGAGCTTTACACTTTGAATCAAAGTTTAAGCGCGGCGGCGATGTCGCCACGTTGACTACGTGCAAAATTTGCGACACGTTCGTCGAGGTGACAAAGTCGACGCATGAGAGAGGTGCGAACGATTACGCGCGTGTACGGGATGTGCTTAGACAGTCGAAGCGCTCGTTGTGCCTATTGCTGCTTCACCTTCACTTATGAGCTCATTAAAACTTCAACCAAGACCAACTCTCAAAAATTCAGAAAATTTATCAGCATCATTGACAATCGACATCAATTCTTCGTGTAAACTATCATAATTGAAATTAATGCAGAGTAATCAATCGCTTATAAATGAAAAGGTACTTCGCTCGTGCGAGAAAGACAGCCGCAGATCTTGAAGCCGATTAGACAAAGTTCAACGCTCACGCGGCTAAACTGTCCGAGTGGTATTCGAGCTGACACTGACATCACTAATATCCACCGTTCTCACGCGATTTTTATTAGCCAAGTTTCAAAAGGCTGGACAGAGAGATGGCAATTACTCTACAGTGCGTGCTGCGTTTAATGGAATTCTGTATTTATATTTTCGGCAGCGTCACTTTTTTAATCTTTCGTATATTCGTCGCGACGCTATATCGGCAAACGAGTAGTGTAGTCGAAATGAAATACTAAATGCTCGCTTCTGGCCGAAAAATTGTGTACTTTGACAATGAATATTTTGTTAACTCTACTTTTTTCCAAACGCTTGACGACTTGATGACTGGGACCATTTTGTGAGGTTTCCGTCATGTAGGTCAACCCGTTTGAGCTCCTTGAGCGCTGATGTTAGAGAAATGGGCGTACTTGCAAACATTACCTAATTAAGTGAAACTAGGGACAAAAGAAATCCAAGTGAGTTTTTAAATTCATTAAACTTAATGAGGTGGAAGCAATTTGCCACTTCAATGACATGCACCCACCCTCCTTGCTGTCATTATATTCTTCTGACTTTATTTGACTCTTGATCATCAAAGAGAATGGAAAGAGGGCAGCCCAAATATTAGGCGTTGAAAATAACTTAATAATCGTGAAAAATACTTGCTTCCTTTTGTTAGATGAATATTTTTTATCAAATAAAATACTTGTTTTATGCAAGACACCTGTGCTTTGAACTAGCGTTAAAAAGCTGACAGTAAATTGTGGAAATCTCGAGTAAATCGTGATAAAGAGGTGTCAAAAGAATCTTTTATCATATATAGATACAGCAGCAAAGAGCACATGAACAAAAAAGAAAGAAACAGTACAGAAGTTAAAAGAAACGAAAGAATAAAGAGCTGTAAAAGGGAGTTAAAGAAGGTAAGAGAAAAAAAAGCGAAGGGAAAACAGAACTCGCTTAAAAGAACACAAAGTTTAGCATGTGAATTATAACAATTCATTGGGCATCGATCTGTTAGAATAAATACCACTCAATAAGAACATAAAATAACGACAAGTACTTCCAATAGACTATGTTGATTAATAAGTTTCACATAAAGTACTCGAGTATATATCAAAAATGTCAAAAATTCTATAAAGAGTTAGAAAGTTCGCTCTACGCAATTCCAAAAACGGTCGTCAAAAGTCATACACTTTCGAAGCTGTAACAGACATAGGGCAATTACAAACTCTCACAAAACCTCACACGAGTGTGCGAAAGTTTTTCAACTTGTTAAAATTAATTGATTCAAAAAATTCTCTAACGATTAAACTCTGGACTATTTTTAAAGAGTTTTTAAATCTTTCACCACATTAACTACGTGTCAATTTGAACAATTCTATTCCAATGTGTTAGTATACATCATTGTATATCATTGTATCAATCACTTGTATTTTTTTCTGTTTCTTTAGTTAATTACACTGAATGCCTACATGTAAAACAGTACTACAAACTTGAAGAGAAAGAGAGAGAGAGAGAGAGAGAGAGAGACAGAAGACTATAAGCCTTCCTAGTGCATGGTCTTAGAAAATATTAGCCATTGTGCCAGAGCGTAACTTCTGCTATAATTATGTACTGTGACGTACTAAACTCCATTAACCGTCCATTACTTCAATTCCACTCGCGCTCTCATAGATACAAACTTGGAAATCTATCAACATTCTCACTTTCTTAATAATTTAATGCCATATTTTATCCGTACATACATATACAACGAACTATTTCTTCTCTGAAATATAAACAAATTTTTCTTTAAAATATCTAAAGAAATAATCTATTTCCAAATCTTAATTAGTTAAAGATAGATTATAAGAAAATCTAATATCTAATCGGAGTAACCTGGGAAAATTAGTGTTGGCCGTTTCAATACGATGATGTACAATGATGTATACTAACACATTTGAAACTACAGCCCCGTAAGTGTTTGCAAGTGTGGCAACTACTGCATTAGCTTAGATACCATTAGCGCGGGGCAATGCTACACTGGGAGTACCCGAGGCGCTATACCAAATAGTCCACTGAGATTTAAATCAGCTGATATTGAACTGCAACTCCCACCTCTGTGCATGTGGACACTATTCTGATCAGGGAATTTATGTTTAGCCTTTTAAAATATTTTTGTACATTTTTATAAATTTGTGGAAATTAATGTTCTTCTAATGAATTAAGAAATAATATTTATAAAAAATATTGTGAAAATTAGAAATTTTTATCAGTATATATTATCAATACATAGAAATTTTGTTAATTCTGAAGATTTTTAAATAAAATTCAAATTAAAATAATTTTCAAAGTTTCAGTCTTTCAAAGATTGAGCTTTTATTACTTTTCACATATTTTATTTAATATACTAACCATTTGAGCTCTACTATATGATTAATACGGCATAGTTAAAAAAATAACTGTACGATATCCTGTGCAAACGTGTTTGAGTGGCCATGAACGATGTTAAAATATCTGCAAAATCCCAAAATTTGGGTTTTAAAATTGAGCTCCGATGACTTGTTATAGTTTTTAACTAATCTGAACTTTAATTTTGAGTTTAAATATTATAAAATATATGACAAAGCACCTGCTTATGAAGCAATTTCGTCAGCGGTACCTTAATCTCGCTCTCATGCTCTATAAATCAAGTGTACTAGCTGTCATTCTCAGAATTCGCCTCACTGCTTAATATTTCGTGGCACAAGATAATCCAGTATCGACTTTACCCGTTCGGAATCCAAGCGCAATTCCTCAGCATCCAAACGGTAGCTAAGGAATGTCACGCCTAAACAACCGAATTCGTACTTCTCCACATTGATCTCTAAACCTGCGCCCGCGATCCATGATAACACCTTCTTTAACTAAATCAGATGCGCTAGTGGCTTTGCGACGGTCGAATAAGGCCTTTCGCATACCAGTCAGCGCATTTTGCCCGAATAAATTCTAGCATTTTCGGTGAATATCTGCACATACGAGTTTACACCGGGCGTTCACCCTGTACGTCGATGGCGTGTTAGATCAAAGCTATTTTCCCTTTCAGGTCCCTTGGGACGACACGCTTCACAAATTGGACAATCTGCTTGCGTTGCGATGGCTGCAGAATCGACAACCCTGATACTACGGCTCCCATATGCACGAGCTTCTTATCCGGTTCGAACGGGACAAAATCTCTGGTCTGCGTCTTTTATGCAAACATATACCAATCCTTTTCCCCGTTGACCTATCAGCTCCTAACCCTTTGGTCGGCTCTTATTCCAAATACCGAAATAAGTCCATTCCGAGGATCATACTGTACTACAGTACTTTCTTGTATGTATGCTCCACATCGTCTATCGCTATTGTCAGCTTGAGTATACTCGCGATCTGCAGCGGTATTCCTGAAACCATGTCCCATGGTCGCCGATTCAGCCAAATTCTCCCGAAAGTCTTTCGCGATATTGTAGCCCACTACCGTCACCTACTTACCCGTATTGAACAACGTGCTACACGTTTTCCCTGCAATCATCACGACGAGTAACGGTCGATTCTCTACGGCGTTAATAGCCATGAAATCGGCCAGAAATCCGTACTAGCGAACGGATGGTTGGCTAATGGGGCATTCCGTCGTGCCTTACAGGACCCCACCGGAAGTAGTTGCTAGATTTAGGAATGCAAATATACATTATAAATTAATTACAGGAGCACTCATAGGACCATACAGGAATAAATAGAGAGTCTTAAGGTTACTGGTGCAAGGGTAGCTAAAACTCACCAAAAAAATTCAACGGATTCGGTCAAAGCTTCAGCATATGACAGTTGCCAATAAATTGAAGCTCTTGTACACTTCCACATTTATTTTACTTGTTCAGAAGTACAGCAAACCGTAACAACAATTTAAGGAGTTACCTCCAGAAATAGGATTATTTATCCTAAAACGATTGTATGAAAGGCAAGACGTACGATATTATAGAAGTGAAATGTTTTCAAATACAAGGAATTAAGTAAGTAGAGATCAGAATGAATATTTGGCACACACATATATATGTATATACTTCTTTTAATTATAACTAATAAATTACAACTCATCATAACAACTGAAAACCATGCAAAGCAGAAAAGGGGATAAAAAACCTCGTGGTGAAATCGAAGAAAAAACCGTACAGATCTAATGAAAGAACGATAACTTGTGAATTTAACGTTAGAAATAGGATTGATAGCTTTTTTTGAGATGCAAGACAAGTCGGGGTTTCTTTTTAACCGCCGCTGCCTCAAATTTTTGGCCCACCCGCTCCGGTTTCGCTTTTCCTTTTCCTGTTTTCCATTATTGCTGTTCTCTCTCCCACTCACGCTCACTCTCTCACTTGTCACCCAAGTAGTCCAAAGGTTAGCCATATGCTATCCCGTTTCATTCACGTACGACCTGCAATATTCAGGAGGATCATCTCCCATGCGAGGTCTGTAGCTTACAAGGATTTAACTCCTTGGAGCTAAAATAAGATTTCACGGTCTCGATAACGTCATAATGCGCTCGTGCACGACCATGGACTAGAACTTCGAGCTGGGAGAGAGAAATTAACAAGCTGTTATTTACATTTGGCGTAATCAAAAATACATCGCTCGCGGTTTACATAAATCGTTTATCTTCTAATACTCGGGTTATAAATCAAATATATTGACCGTTCTCGAGAACAGCTGCATTTCTCTGTGCGTATGTTCTGGGTCTGTCGCTTAAGCCTGAAGTTTTGTGCTCCCTTGTTATAGTGCGGATTAATCACGTAATAAGCTTGATAATTAAATCCCTTTGAAAAGTTCTTTGTGTCAATTTCAAGCATAATCTTGGAATACGCGGCTGTGCAAAAACTTTTAAATTCAATTGGCTGCTGCTGCCTACCAGCAAGTTCAAGAACCAAGTTTGTGGTATTCGTTTATGTCAATTAACAGAACGAAACAGCTATGTAAATGTGTCCACGAGGATCGCCAGTAGCCTTTTTATACACACTTGTGTATGTGTGTGTGTGTGTGTGTGTGTGTGACGGGACGATGAACCGTGGAAACGTGTATTTGCCTTCCGCCCTTTATTACTTGGTCTGGGAGGCAATAATCCTAAGGTTTTTGTAGCTTGCGACGCTTTTATGAGCAACGCGTATCCTGTATCTACGCTCAAAGCGTTGAACTGCAAAATGACGCAGTGGCGTTGAGTAGACAAAGCGCAAATGTTATAATGCGAAATAAATGGCATTACTGGCTTTTCGAGAGTGAAAGAGACGGAACTAATGACTGCGTTTTATTATGCTTTGTGACGTTCTTATGTTCACTGGCATTTCTAGTAATGACCGGGTTTTATTCATTGAAACTGGAAAGTTTAGCCTTGTACCGCTCTGTAATAAATTTGGATTAGAGGAGTTTTTACAGAATTTTTTTAATTGAAAAACAAATGAAAAGTTGAAAGCACTTGTTACTTCCACTCTTTCATAAAAGCAGGCTTTGTGTGTTTATCAATCGGCATCGTACGGGATCGGACTTTGACTTTTCTTTGTTGCCCATAACGCAATATTAGCCTAGACCTTCTAACGGTCAAACACCCCGCACATTTGTACACGCAAACACACGCGCCTGCTAGCAGTAGCTTTTACGATCGTTTTAGGGTCAGAGAGTATGGAAGAGTGCTTGTTTGTCGAGCAAATGCCAGGCTCATAGTAGTCAAAATGTATTCGTGCAAGGGACAACAGATGGCCATGTTTCATTGGCTCTTTGGCATTTATATGAAAAATTGAATGACAGACCTACGTTTATAATGAGCAGTGATCTTTGAATGATGAATTTTAACAAATGAAACTGGCGTTAGCTGCGTTTTATCGATTGCGATGTTGGATAATATTGACATTTGCACAATATCGATGGACAACGTAATCGATAAAAGTTACTACTTTGATTCATGATTTTTGCTGATGATATTTTTGATTTGATTGAAAATAAGACTTCTTCCCGCGTTCATCACTAATCGTTTGATCGTCGATAATAGAGCCAAATGAACACCAGCCCGGCTAAACTTTAACTAGCAATTAATTGTAATTTGTGAAAGAATGAATAAACGTGTTTTAAAAATTGAAAAACACTAAAGTGAGCAATTTTATGGCTGGAATTATTTTGCAGGATGAAAACCAACGACGTGACAATGACGGGGAAGAAAGACACGACGGAGGGCTGAACGCCAGTTCTGAAAGAGCTGAGCGCGAATAGCCAAGCAGCAAGTGGAAATGAGTCCGACGCGCTCGCTTAAATTGGGCGCGCTGCTGCTGCTCGCTGCTGCTGCTGCTGCTGCTGCTGCTGCTGCTGCTACAGGTGCTGTTGCTGTTGCTGCTACTGCCCTAATGTCAATCGCAGTCGCCGACAATACCACGTCAGGTTAGAAACTTTGAGACTCTCTCTGCCTCTGCCGGCAATATTATTAGAGCTTTGACCAAGTGCCAATTATATCGAGTACGCTGGGCGTTTGCGAATCAATTTCACGCAAATTTCGACGCGGTCAGTTTCATCGTAGGTTTACAGTTATGCCAATTCACTATTACTACTGTCGAATCAATCTGTTAGATTTCTATTGGCCGCAAGTCAAAAGGTTTGTCTGCTGCGTCTAAGGAAGGCACTGCCGTTGTTGTTCGTAGCAGAATATGCGAGGTCTACTTTGAATTTCTAATTTCGATGTAGAACAACGTGCAGTGTACAATATAATGAAGATGCCTGCGTGGAATCGAGTTATTATCTTTTATAGGGCAATTACTTTTCTCATTTTCAGCAACAGCCGCGAGCAATGAAACGCGACTCTCGTAAATGTTCGCGCTCGGCAGTCTTACGCCGACAAAATAACATTGACGATGCGCTGCTGTGCTTCAACGAGAAATTCCGAGATATCATAGCTCCAAGCACAACCGTCTCAGATACATCCAAATGAAAGGTCTAATTTGTTTATAATCGCGCGCTGAAATTGGCCGCAATGGCCATACACGGACACGAGCAAAGAACAAAGGAGTGTGCGGTCTCAAGCTAGGTGGCAATCGATGCGCCGCGGTAGCACGTTTGCAGCGGAATTGCTTTCGTCGGGTCAGTATTCGACCATCCGCCCACTCGGTGGCTGTCAGTGCGAGCGCGCGAGCGCGCGAGCTCGCCAATATCCACTTGTGCAAACAGGATCGGCCGTAAATATCACATTTTACATGAGCGCTTACTAACGAGAACAACGGAAATGAGGCCGAGACCAATTGCTCAGCTGACTGGTACGCCAATGCTCATTTTCCTTGGCTATTCTTTGGCATCTGGTATTTTTACTGCTTACTTTGCGAATAATCAAACTGCAGTGTAACGAGAACTTGTTGCGAATGGTCATTTCGGAAACAGCCTTGGTCACTTCAACTATTTTTGACACGTGGCAGTACGCTACACTCTTTAAGCACTCGGTCTGATCAACGACAGATGATATGTTATTCTCGCATTTATTTTTTATGCTTTTCTAAAACTCCATTTCAAGCAATTACAACTTGTAAATGTTTGATCCTCTCTCACATATAAGCATTGTTTACGTTCCACCAGCCATGAACATATCTGATCGCGCACCGTGTAAATTTGTAGAATTTGCAATTCCAATGGCTTGCACCAACAGAGGAAAAAACAATCTCGTTTTTCCAAACAGCCGAATTCCAATTTAAAATCATTTGTACGGAAACAAAGCGGTAAGCGGGAAAGAGAAAAAAGGATGAATTCATTTTCGTTATAGAGTTGAAAGTTGACCAAATAAAGCTAGGCTGGCTGAGAAAAATGGAAGCACAAAGTATGAAGGATCGTGACATGAGAAAATGGCTGGAATATGCAATGCAACGAGAGGGAGGGAGGGAAGCACGTGATCGTAGATATGAAGACGGAGGGAGTGTGTTAGCCGCGAAATAGGATCAGCGTCGCTCGCTTGCGAACGCACAAGCGCAAAAGGCAGCATCCTAAGTTGGATGGAAGAAACGTGCCGAGGAGAGCTGAAAAAGACGAAAAGACGACTGTCGCGCCTTGTCGGGGATTCATCTTTTGCGGATTGCGCTGCCTCTAAATGGCAGATTTGGCAGCTGCGTTCTTGCTTGTGGTGCCCGATGTTGAGGTCTATAAAGCTTGTTTTCCTATTTCGGACATTGATCTTTTTAGGTTTCTACGAGCTGTTTCATTTCATTGGATTGTCCAAGATAGATTATTCAAGTTGAATGCTGCCCGCGCGTTCCTTTCTAGACGAATCGATGGATTTATTTCCTCGAGTCATTGTTCCGTCATCAATAAATAGGTATTTGCTGGGCGAAATAAAATCCAGAGAAAGAATTATTTGGAGTTGTACGTAGTCGATTGAGCGTCGCAAAGGTCAAGTTCAAAAGCGAAAAGTCAAGAGAAAGGGAAAAACAAATGAATTGGGTGCATTGATTAAACAGAGCTCGCGTTAGAACGAGTTGTATGGAAATCGCGCGGGCGAGCAAGCGTATAAAAGAAAAAGATAAGAGAAGAGAAGGTGGCTGGAACAATCGAAGGAGAAAGCCCGTTCGGCTTGTCCGGCCCGTCCGGCCCGTCCGGCCCGTCCAGCCTGTCCGCTCGTAATCGGCGCGATTGGCCGCGGAAAAGAAATAAAAGCGAGAGATTTGTAGAGGGGTTGCGCGGCGCTCTCGGCGCACTCGAGTGAAAGTTATATAAGACTCTTAAAAGCCCAGCAAAGAGCCAGCTCGAGTAATGCGGCTGAAAGGCTATGGACGATGAATCGTATTTCAACTCGGCTGCGTGTATTCAACGATCGAGTTAAGCAGTGCGATTTTGAGCGGACAATATTGATGGTCATGCAATAAAATCACACTGGATCAAGTGTCATTAGTGAACATTTTGACAATCTCTGCGCATCGCTTGCCATTGGTAGAAAAAGTCTTTGCACATGGTCATTGCTGCTGAATGTCGTTATTAAGGAGATTCCATACTGATGTAAGCTGCAAAACGCAAGTTGGAGTTTGCAGAATCAGTGCTCCCATGCTTGCAAGTGAATAAAATTAATAAAATTCAGTAGTGCACACAGACGCACGCGCACACACACACAATGTCCATAAGTAGCGCTGGCGCAAAAATCAAGCGAAAATAAGATGAGTGCGAAGCCGTGAGCATTACTCCTTGCTGTATCGCACATCTAGAAGAGCCTTGGGGCGGTACACCACTTTCCACTCTTCGACTTATGTGCACAACCCTTCGCTCTTAACTTTTATCGATCCGACTACTCAAATACGTGGACGCAGCCGCGAACCTTTGGGAAACGAACGGGGGGCTTCCGTATTATATCCTCTTATGTACAATGGGTCATTTACGAAATTTACAAGTTCTTTTTCAAATGCACTCTACGAAATGTATCTTTCGTTATTCACTATTTGTCCAAAACATTACTTCACTACTTGCACACGTGAATTTCGGTGACCGAATTTACATTGTTAGTAGAGCAAACATTGCAGTTTAAGCGTTTATTGCCTATATGTAGAGTTACACAGATGCAATGCCCAAGGAAATCACGAGGAAAAAGTATTAATTCTCTATCATCGCGTTAAGTTTGGATTGAAATTGCAAATAGTGAAATGAGCCACGTAGTAAAAGACAGAAAGTAGGGGGTATGGTTTCTGTATGGCTCACGTCGTAGCTGCTGTGTTAATTAAGACAATTAAGATCCACATGTTTATAAGGTGGAGAGTATATAAACGACGTAGTCATTTGTGGTTTAGAGTGTAGACTGACTATACTTACGTTACGCTATTAGCGTAGTTTTTTGGTTGCTTAACAAATAATTGGAAAGCTCATACCATATGATACAACAGAGCAGCGTACACTTGTTGTTAATGAGCAAAGCAGAAAAGCCTCAAACTATTCGCTGCTCAATTGCAAATCGGCTTGATAAGAAGATAAGCACGTGCGCGTCTGCCACGACACGATAAAGAAAGAGAAGAGGAAACGTAAGAGGCGCATCGTCTAGACGTAATTTCCTTCAATTCTGCCGGCGGCGTGCTGTGCTGCAACGCACGCTCACTTCCAAATCAGTTTGCGGCAAGTGGAATCTCGGTGCGGGACGGAGTTTCGCCGCGCCACCGGCGCCACCGCCGAGGGAATATGACTGGTGCAGCTGCGCAGATGCATGGGATTTTACTACATGCAGCGCGCGCGACTCGGGGATTAACTTATTTGTAGGTGGAGAGAAAGAGAGAGAGAGCGACGTAGAGAACTTTACGCTGCTCTGGATTTCGAGTTATGACTTTTCTCTCACGCCCACGTACAGCTGCATTTTCAAACGAGATTGTTTCTCAGGCTCTGTCGGCCGTGAGATTAGCTTGGCTTGTACACATTTACGCAGCAAGCATTTCCACGAGACCGACAGATTTTCCTATTTATTTTTTCTTCGTACGTTCTTTACAACATGTTCGTTCACGTTTACGTATGCGTATTGGTATGAGTTTGGACCAGCAATCCGAGAATGTAATTGATAATTTACTCGATGAATCGCGAAGCACGCGGACGCACCAGACAGAAAAGAGGCTGCGCGCCCAAGCCAGCCGAATAATAAATACGCTCGGACAACGGCGAGGTGGCGCCGACGCATCGGAGGAACCCCTATACAAAACGGGCCTGCAGCACGTGCGATACCTACACGATTGGTACTGCTCTCGAGATTTCGATCGATCCGACGCCTGCAATCAGATGCGATTAAATATCTGTCTTGCGGAGGGAAAAAAGAAAGAGAGTTGAGGATAAAATTGGAAAATCGGCATTGTTTTAGACTGCCGTCTGACTCGATTGGACTTCTCGCTCCATTTTCCTCCGCGCATTTTCCTCGCAACCAGTCACTTTGCGTTAGGTTAATACCGCATCAGCGCTCTTCCCATGGTAGCTTTGTACCGTGTTTGCTTCGTAATAAAAATCATATTCTTCAACGTCATTTTTACTTCTGCTCAATCTCACCCGCTTTTCACGCACTTCCATTCAAGATTTTAACAACGATCTCGTATGAATAGTCATTGCAATCGATAAATGCTTGTTCAATCAAACTCAATGTGGGTAAATTTTGGGCCTCGATTTCCGCAAGAGCTCTTCGCATCTTGCTACAATCTTACTTGCACGGAACAACCCTAGGAAATTCTGATCTGAAAAGTCGCGCACGCAATACGCGTAGTTCGATATTTATGAGACGTCTACTTTTGCCGCACCGTGTGCCACGGGCTCTTCTTCTTTTATTCCGACCTTCGTAAAAACATACACAAGGCACTGATCGATGTGCTTGCGCACATCTCTTCCTTCAATTATTACATGTACTATTTCAAAATGTAATTTAATACTCAACAGCTTGGCTCACATTAGCTCATAGGCACTGAGCCCACGTGCAACCGTCTCAGATCAGTGCTTCAAAGCTCGATTAACGTCGACATTTCATTCGATACTCTAAAGTCTCCTTAAGCGCTGACTATCAAAGACTGATCATCGAATTCCTTTGGGAATGTTCACAGGCAGTACTACGATGAGGCAAGTTACGGCCGGAATTACCGCAACAAGCAGCAGCAGTAGTAGCCTAACGACAAGTACGACGCTAGCATTGACTCATCTAAGGACGGAGATCCCTACGGAAGCGACTGGCAGAAACGTCGCTAGTGCCGCTGCTAGCCGCTCGAGCAGTGATCCGGAGATTACCACAATAGCTACTTCGACCGGTAAGTCGCAAGTTTACCCCGCTTCTCTCTGCTCTGTGTGTTGATGCGCACACATGCAGTTCTATACATCGGCGCTTACAACTTGATTATAGCCTTGCTTTTGACATTTCGTTGGACTTGCTCGCTGGCTCGCTTTGATTGGACCAATCGGTCAATTTCTGGGTTAAACATTTTGCCCAGGCGCAGAGTTTTCGTTGGGCAAATTTCTTACTACGTCGAGAATTCTTCGCGAAGCTGGCATGGAACGAAAGAGAAAGTTGATTTTCAGCTGGAAAGAGAGCGCGACTAAGAGGCAAACATCGCAGCTAATCTAAAATACAATCATCGCGAAGCGACAAAGTCCTGCGAAACGATCAATCTCTCCTCGAGGCGAGAGTAGGAACAAGCGATTCATCCACGTCGCGTCGTCACGTCCGACGATTCGTTCAGCCCATATCACTCGAGCGAGAAGCTGAACGTTGCCGATTGTGTCTTCCAGTTTTAGCAACAGCGAGCAGCTCGATCGCCAATGGGACAAGCGATTCGCCGCCATCGAATACAACCGAGCTCACGACCACAACGCCAATCTTACCGCGACAAGAGAAACTCGTAGGCCTCATCATTGACAACACGACGACGACGACGACGACGACGACGACGACGATGACGACGACGACGACGACGACGACGACTACCTCGAGGAGCGGCGCTGCTGAGAATTCCCTCGAAGAAAACGAGGAAAACACCGAGGGATCAGTCGAGGACTTGCCCGCTTCTAATTGGAGGCTGACGGATGATCTGCGGACGAGCACTAGCGTAGCGACCATCACGCAGACTGTGCTACTTGGTAAAAGTGTCAGTTCGTTAAAGTCGTCCAAAAACGAACTCGTTCCTGACGGCCCGAGAGAGGTCAAAGTCACGCATAAAATTAATCAGCTGGTAAGTGTGAAAAGAATCTGTTGAATGCCCGCATATATGTGCAATACCGACTTGTGTAATAGGGTACAATGGAATTACAGAATCAGGGATACTTTGGCGGTATACTTGGCTCGGTGCTGGGCAAGTATTCGCCGTACTTCGAGGACGGTCAGCAGGAAATTAACGTGACCGCACGCATCGGCAGCACGGTCATGCTCGACTGTATGATCGGCATGCTTGGCAATAAGACGGTAAGTTTAATGTGCCTTCGTCTCTATACGTGTGCGTTGATGTACACTGCCTCATCGAGCACTATACCTACATCAGCATACATACAGACGCTTGATACAGCGTAGGACAACAGCTTGCCAATTGAGTTTGTAAAGTCAAATTTGTCGTGACCAGATATGTTGTGTAGTTCAAGTTTGAGGAATAGTTGAGATAAGATAAAGTGCCTGTGTGAATTTCATGCGCTTCGTTAGACTAAGCCTCGCTTGCTTTGCAACTTGCACGATAAATAAGGAGCTGATGGACATCCCCATTTACAGCACTCTACATTCATTTGCGCATTTTCGAAAAGTTAAATTTAAGTATTACAAAGATTCAAAAGTAGCCTCGATTTCAAGCAAAGAGAAACGTGTACTGAATTAGTTGCAAGGCGGATCTACACCTTTTTTGCGACTATTTTACAACCAATGCAATCCGCCGACAATATGTAACTTCACGAAGATATCGAAAACTCGTAAAATTGAATTTGAACAAGTCAAACAGCCCCCCCCCTCTCCCTCCCGAGAAACAGCGAAGCGGGCGTACAAAACTCATAGAAAATGCTATCGAGGTAGGCGATGCGATCACTTCCACCTTGCGCATCCTGCTGTCTTGAATATCTCCACGGGTGAATAGTCCGAGAGATCGCATTGCCGTATATCTCGCTCGTGTCAATGCGTGAAACTTGAGAGAACGAACAGCCGACAAGAATACAAGCTTTTGTGAATGATGTGCATAATGAATATTTTACGCTGTCTTGACTTTGCCACGGTGGCCTATTTATCTCTCTGTTTGATGGAAAGTCTAAATTGATAATAACTTTGACATAACTTGGATGTAACGAGTTTTCCCAATTTCTTTGGTCACTTGATAGCTTTGAACATTTCGTAAACTGAAACTTGCTTATAATTATTTCTGATTGCAACTCTGTATTTTTTTGCAAAGTTTTTACATTGTTGAAAGTTGTCCGATTTATAATTATATTATATTACCTTTCTCGACTCATTCGCATTAACTCTTACGAGAGTAAAAAGTAAGCATTCCAGCTTATAAAGTACGAAGATTGGATTGCTAACAATCATTTTTTCAATTGAAATATTAACTCTTGACGCGTTGTAGCTCAGGCAGTTCGCTTTCATTCAATCGTGATATAAGTCAGCATCAATGCACATTTTACTCATCAATGTCGGTGAATGTTTATAACAATCGTGATAGTCTGCAGCGGAATAAGCGGTTATTGAAATCATGGTTTACGAGCGTCCCAAACGTCTGACGGATTACCGTCTCCTGTTTTTCATCTGTTTTTCCAAGTAGCTTCTCGAATATGCGTTTATCCAAGCGTAAATTTTCCAATTTATCAATTATAAACGATACTGGACCGTAGCTTTTTTATATTTCGGTGAAAAAACTGCCTATTGGATAACCATATGAGAAATTTCAAATTTAGCAGCTTTTAATTTCAGACAATTGTCACGTAACACCACTTACTAATCTATTTTTATGCAAGTTCTTTATTCGAGCCCTGTTATACCCTGAATTTCCCACAAAAGAATTATTAACAATAAGAGGTCGGAAAATAAGCTGGCATAACACTTCCTACGACGATCAATAAAGCTAAGAGAGATAGAGCAATGCAGATGCCTTCAATGCATCCCTTCCTTGGAAAAATCTTACGAAAAAGTGTAAGTACCCAGGAGGTTTGCGCGACTCTCGCAAGAGAAAGCGGCGTGGGCCGTTGCATCGCGTGACCTTATTTCCACAGCATCGTCGCGCGCCATCTCGGTATGAAGTCGAGTAGTAGTAGCACGAGCGCGCGCTTTTGTGCTAGCGGGCGAATGGAATTGTTCTCGGGTACGACACAAGAACTCGAGGATCCAATTCGAAAGAAGCGAACTTATACCGCGCTTGGGTATCTTTAGATGCCGGGTATCGATCAATAATGCATCGGATTTCCTATGCAGGCAACAGGACTGGGGATAAAAATAATTTTTGTATATACCATCATTCCCCCCGAATATGTACACTTGTTTTACTGTAGAATTTAGGAGGAAGATGTTTGCATGCAAAAGTCAGCGGTGACTTACTGGCTGTCTAAATCAACTGTAAATTTGTGCGAAACTTCCTCACTCTCTTTTCTTCTGCTTTATTATTTGAAAAGCTCTAGTTTATTTAGGTGTTTGTAAAACTTTTGAGAGCGCTAATGTTTTATTCAGAGTTTGTTAAAATTAACAACAAAAATACATTTTTACGTATTGAAAAGAACTTCCGTAGGGTAGTTTTGGAATTGATGGAAATAAACTTCGAGTTCAGTTTCCAGACAGACGAGTGTTTTTCATAAAATGAAACACGTAAGGAAAATGCTAGAAATAAAATAATTTTATACAGAGTTTTCAATTTTCTTTTTATTCGATTTACAGAATTTTTAAATGAATTCATAAAAATTAATGAAAATACTTGACACATAATTGCTTAGAAAAATAAAAATTGTTATTTGTAAGAAAACTGAAAATGAGAAGCAATGAGAGAAATTTTTCATGTGATTTGATACATTATTATAAAACGATGTTGAAGTTAGCAAAACTTGGTTATTGCAGCTAAGTGTACTTTCACATTCAAAAGTTCGAATCACTCGAAAAAACTTAACTACCTCGTTTTTACTGCTAATGCGTTTCCAACTGCTATTAGTATTTTCCTCGCGGACAAAAGCTTGATCCCGTGATTAAGCTTCCCATGACCAATGGCTATTCCTTGACAAAAGGAACGAATAGTATTGGTTTGTTCGAAAGTAAAACAATGAGAGAAACAGATGCCTGTCATAAATGAAATATGAGATTGCAGTCGAAAACACGCATATGATTATAGGTACAAAATGCGTGCGAATTTTCCATGGTGCGGAAAAACGCGAGCTGCGTATTGTTAAGACAGTGTGGAAACTTTGGCTTGAGGTTGAAAGATGCTCTCGAACGGCCATGAGTTATCTTAATTTTGCTATTAGAACGATATCGATGTATTAAATTCAGCTATAGTTAAAATATGGAAGAGTCTATTTGTCATAGATACCCATGGACGCTAATGATTGAATGATTGTCTGGTATCGAATTGAGTTCAACAACAGTGGCTCGAAGCAATGTGAAACTTAGTAATGTAAGCCAATGTATCTCGCTGCAGCGCAGAATACTCTTTAGACGCGTGATATTGGCCCTCTGTCATTCACTGACCGAAGCACGCACGCGCACAACGGCTAATGAAAGAGATAATAAGAAGCCTGCGAGACGAAACTCGGACACGCATGAAATCCATCAATTATACCGCGTACAACGACAAACAACTATTAGCTATAGCCACTTCTCGGAAGAATCAGCATTTACTTTAATGTCTATTCCCATTGTTCTATTCATTCTATTGAAGATCTTCTGTAACTACCAAAATATTTATATCAAAATTATGAATCGGAAACAAGTCGTCAACAATTAAAATGAATGTTATATCTGATTAAAATGGTTGCGCTAATACAATTATTGGATTTTATAAATGACGAATAAATTGAAATGCAATCACTTTCTAGAGGAACAATTCGACAATTAAAAAAGAAAAACGATTTGAACTATTCGATATCCCTCGTAGATCGAAAATACAAAGCCTTCGATGATTTGAAAATACCCCAATTCGTCAGTTGACGCTCGAAATCATCCCGACTATTCTGATCACTTCTAGCTACTAACGCGGATACTTTTCAATGAAAAAATTCTGAAAAATAGCGCTAAGGCAAAATTTATTCCTTGCTATACCTTACCACTTTCCACTCGATGGACATTGCTGAAATACAGAATATCGACAAGCCGCTGCTGGTTTTGAAATATTTGTAATAAGTCGAGATGCAGTCGAGGGACAAATATTTCAAAATGCCAAATGTATCGGGAGAATGCGAAATGACCTTTCTGCCAGACAGCGTATTCATGAATCGTCTATATTGGTGGAAATCTGCGGAGAAGTTGCGCCTAGATTTCTGATTTTTCCATTACTCTTTGCTTTCCAGGTAACGTGGTCCTACCGCAGTAATGACGTATTTCGACTGCTCACAGTCGGACGCAATGCCTACAGCGTTGACGCTAGAATTAGTCTGCATTTCAAGTAAGTCAATTGATTGATTTCAAATATACACGTAGAAAAACCGTATTTCGTTTTGACGTTTCATCAATACATGAGTTTGCTGTACGAAAGTTGAATCAAAGATCATTTTTCAAAACTTGCACTTGTTATAAAATGCTCAATCTACTCTCTGGACTTTTTTCAATGGCAGACACATGAAACTCTTGAGAAAAATTGATACGAGACGATCTCAGGGAATGCATTTTTCCAGATATCCAACGAATTGGAGACTAAGAATCCAATACGCGACTCCGCGTGATTCCGGATTGTATGAGTGCCAAGTGGCGACTTATCCACCTTTGGTGAAGAAAATTCACCTGCTTATAACCGGTAAGTTGACTGACTCTATCTTTACCAGCCGCTTGTTCATTTCCATTCCCATCTGTAAATAATCTAACAAATTTCGATTTAATAGTAGGCGTGCAAAAGCTATATGAGCTTATATGTATGATTAAGTAACATTCCTTATTGGTTTCGAAATCGCTTTCGTTATGACTACTACTTATACTCGTATATACAGCACATGACTGAATGAATCAGTCGAACCAACAGTGAATATTGAAGTTGACTGATAATTGGAAATAATTTAAATGTGATTTGCTATGAGAAATTACTTTATAGCAGCGAATCTAATACAAATTTAATAGAAAATTTTAAGAGCCTTACCAATAAATTGAAACAAATGAAACGATCGATGGAGAAAAATAAAAGCGTAATTCCATCCGAAGTAAGAAGAACAAACTGTAAGGCGGATTGAAGACATTGGTATTTTGCCAATGGGTCAAAAAGAAAAGTTGTCGTAAAGAAAATGTAGCAGGAGATCGTACCTCGCCAATTTCCCGTCTTAGCGGAAAAGACTTTGTCCCTTGGCGTCCGCTTAATTTCATTGCGAACCACCTAGATTCCTTTATATCCGAAATTCGATTTGGCCGTTATCTTAAAAAATATATTTTGCACGTGTATCAATGAAACCAATCTTGTGCAGCTCTGCCTCGAGAGCATTTCTATTATTGTCGGGTTGCAAGAAATAGACTAGATTTACTTGGCTGGATTTATATTGATCATATCAACAATGAAACAAGATGAAGTTTGTTCTATTATTGTCGATGTTATAAAAGTTGTATAAAAACGCAGTTAACAAACTTTTGGTCACTTGCGCGCCTAGAAAATTGGTTTTTGATGTATCGATTAGTTTTTACAATAATGGACAATATTTCTGAATCGTCAAACGACGAGCCAAAGACCGATCATTTCACTCTTAAGATCAGTGGAGACAGGATATGTGAACAATAATTTTCAGAAATCACTCAATAGTTGGCGATGAAGAAAATACAAATGGGAAATGAAAAGCCAAGGTATACAAGCAGCGCCCTTTCATAATTGATAGGCATACTTTTGGCTGCTGCTGTAGCTCGTTCAAAAGCGTTAAGTGCACCCCTATCTCGATTTCTCAAGTCTGCACGTATACATATGCGATCGAGGGTCTCGTTGAGGTCCATAAAGGATAGAAAAGCATTTCTTTTAGCTTTTTGCGTGCGAAGGAGTCGTAGTTCCACGGCTGGGTAATTCGATCCGCAAGACAGAAGCATCGCCGCTGTGGGTATAAAAGCCACACGGAGCGCAAGTCTATTCCTTTGACTCTCTGTATAGATTTGTCAGGAACAGGTTGGAACAAGAGAAGTCACTTGAGTTTTACTCTAAAGCTCGATTTTTAACTATATAAGCTAACCGATAGGTTCAAGTGTGCGCGCGTATTCACTCATAAGTTTCCTTTTCCCGCTTTTCCGGCTCATCATCAGGCAACTCTGTCTTGTCGCGCGGCTCGCTGAGCGGCCGCGGGACAGCCCTTGCGTTAAACCCAAGCCGTATGACCTCCCATGGCTTACGATGAAGCGATTGAAGCCATGGAGAGAACGTTGTATTGGTTGGGAAAAATAATTGAAAGACGGCAACTCTAGGTAGCTCTAGGTAGCCCAGAACGTGCGTTAAACTAAAAACGACACTGATCATTTCGACAGAAGAATGAGAGCTCGCTTAGATTTGATCATGCTGTGAGACGCTAGAATGGACAGCACGCGATATTCTATGCGCTAATCGGCGCAACGTGTCGACTGATGTTTTCGCATCTGCCGACCGACACAAGAAGATTGATAAGCGCAGCAGCAGTAGCGAGAGTACGTGAGCTCTCTTTGCCTTTACGACCTAGATTAAAAGCTTTCGCGGATGTGCGTGCGATTTCGAGCGTACTTTTTTTGGAGGACTGTTTTGTGTTTTACGCGAGGAGTGATTGGAGAGGACGGAAATGCGGAGTGAGTGAGTACTGTTGAGGGTGAGCTTTGTGGCCAAGGTGCGCGCAGTTTCGAGACCTACTTTCCGCGCGGGTGGCTTTTTTCCAAGTTTCAAACAGAACCGCGCGCTCACTTATTAGACGTCATTTCCGTTTTAACGATGCCTGTCTTTTCTTCTAATTCTATGGATCTATTCGCGCAAATTTGAAAGAGCGAGCAAATGAAGCACGCAACGACAAATCATACGAGTAGCACAATGCAATCTATATAATCTTCACGATTGGAAAGTCATATAACGAGACAAATCGATGCTATTGGTAATGCATAATGAGCGCTTTATTTGTCAAAGAGATACCTTCAAAATTGAACAAATCAGAAATTCCCATTGCCAATTGCTACAATATAAAATCGAAGCGTCCAATTGATCGCGCTAATTGATCATCGTAGTAGCGTGGGTGTGCATGGGATATGCGTGTGTACGCGACTATAGCGCCCCAATGGTAGCCTGCGTGGAAAAGCCGCTGGTCGTTAGGGAGACCTTCAGTGTTTCGAGGACCGCCTGCCCGTCAGCATGAGTCAGCGAGCCAATCGATTTATTCCGAGCTTTCTTCTCACCGCAACTCGGCGTTCAAAGTCGCACAGTAGATAGACGAAGAAGCTCGGCAGCAATCGCTAAAGTACGAGCTAGCTAGCTAGCTGCAGATGGGAGTTGGAAGACAAACTGAAAGTCATCGAAATGTCGAGAGAATAGAAAGAAGCCAAGAAATAGTAGAAGAGTATAGCCGAGTGCAGTATCCGCGCGGATGATAGCTTGTGTGCCGTTGCTTTAAAGTAGGTCGAATCTTGAATGGCAAAAGACAGACAGACAGACAGACAGAGAGAAGGAGCAAGTTTGCAACTAGTCGCTAGCCAGCTCGCGGACAGACAGACCAACAGAACAGCCAACCGCAATGCTACGTGATTCGTCTTCTATCTCCAACTCACGTAACACCAATATCCTTGCCCTCTCGATCTATATATAGCAGTTCATACTTCCACTTGAATCTTGAGTGAAATTCGACCTTATATATGTAGGCGCGAGTCCAGGCAGAGATCTGAAGAAAGACAGACATCAGCCGATAATTGTAGTAGTTGCGGATGGCGATCGCGTACGCGCTTACCCTACCTAGCTCTACCCTGGACTTCTATTGATACACCTTCGCTAGATACCAAAGAACACATAGGAACTGACTTATTGCTTGATTATTCCGAAATTGAATATCGAGCTGAAATAATTACGCCTTCACTCGTTATTAGCTAGGGTTTATTCAATTTTCATTCTGCCAATTGCCTTTGTCCAAGAAATTTATTGCCGCATCCATTTTCTCTCCCCTGATACATGAGAACAACGTCAATGTTATTTCTTCTCGCCAGCTGTACATAGCAACAAAAGTGTCCTCGAGTCGTCCTTGTGATTAATCAACATGTGCGCATCGCTAGGTCCTCCTCTCGATTAATTTATCGATCAGTTCGCGCAGTCCCAGTCTCGCGTTTTTCCCGGACATTCTAATACATATACATATATCTTCAAACGTATAGCTATTTATCCCAGACTCTGATTTGCTGCCGCGTACTGCGCAATAGAGATAGCAAGAGTCCTGGAGGAGATTTGCTCAGCCACACGGAAAAATAGATGGCATTGGCCTGGTGATGATAGCTTTAGCGTGAAAAGCTCAAACGTGCAAGCTTAGAGAAACTTTATCGAGAGAAAAGCTTGCGTTACATTCTTGGCATTTATCAGAAGAACGACTTACTGAACGTCCAAGCTATCATTCAACAAAAAAACTTTGACGTTGCAACTTTTCACGAGCTTTCGATGCGATATGTGTTGTAAATTTCAGTCAAGTATCATTTTCTGCTACAAAAGAAATCGTCACTCATCGGAACGCTCAAGGTACGAGATTAATTTTCTTTTCTCGGCCCGCGCAATGTTTTCATATCTTGCCCTCCCCCCCTCCCCCATTTGTCCGAAGCATTTATTGGTGAAAAATTACCGTCGGCTAGAGAGAACTACACCGCACGCCATTTTTATTAGTATTTTGCGTAAAGCTTTGTGCACGTGAACTCCTTTACGATCCTGGCCGCTTGGATTAGACTGGCACTCGTAAAAACGTAATAAGATGTTGCGCCAAGCAAAATGCCTTATGTAGTATACGTGAAATTTAAACGTGCCAACTCTAAATCTTTCGCTCGAGGTGGTAAACCTCTAAAGATTTCATTAAAGAGTGCAAGCTCAACGTAAACGATTTTTTTGGAATAGCTCGGTAAGTCTTAAAAAAAGGATAAATCAGCTAAGAATTCTAAGCACTACACTCTTTTCCTCTTCCGCGTGGCAATGCGATCGTAGTTTTAAATTACGGAGTAATAAACGTAACTATAATTTTCAGCGAGCGCTCTTAATTAAAATTAATGATGCTATTACATTGCGAGCGCGACGATAAACGTATGAAGTATCTCGAGGCAAAAAGTGAATCTTTCTAATATTTTTCCAGAGGTGCAATTAAATTATTTTTTGGTAGTAGGAGAAAAAAAATCTGAGAGGGAATCTAAGTAGGTATCTCGCTATATCCTATTTAAAGAATATAAGCTCTTCTGGAGCTATTCGTCTCAAAGGCGAGAGAGAGAGAGAGAGAGAGAGAGAGAGAGAGAGAGAGAGAGAGAGACTAGAAAAAAAAAAGAAAGAAAGAAAGCAGCAGCAGCAGTAGTAGCGGGCGATATGGCAAAAGAGGATTACTAATATATACCCGACACACCGGCGCTTCCCTTTTGCGCATCCTCTTTATCCACGAAGTGCAGTCGTGGCTTATTAAATTCTCCGCGTGCCGCGAACGGAGAAAAGGAGAAAGATAGAAAAGAGATTCGGAGCATCAGGCGAACAACGCAACGATTCGATGATGATAAACCAAGATAAAGTACGAGTTTCCTTTCAGTGATTGTCTTTCAAGGGTTCTTCTTTAATCTTTTTGTCCAAGGCAGAATAAGCTAATTAATGCTATATTAATAAATGCAGTTTCACTTTGTGCCCGCCTATGTTCAACTGTATTGACAAGAAAAGGAATGAAAAAATAAATAAGTTATTGAAAAGAAAGCTAACTAGGCAACCGAAGCTCAAATCCAATTGAGGCCAAAAGGAACTTGTGAATAACAAGAACAACGAGGATTCGCTTCCGATGAAGGCGTGTATTTCGCAAGACAGCTAAGAGAATTGCAAGTTGATCGCATGAAAAATCACAAGCCAAATCGGTCAATTATGTCGCTTTCCTCATTGATGAATCAATCATCACGAATCACTTGTCCAGTCAATTGAAGTGGCTCCATAACCATCGGAAAATCAGAACTGATTTATAGTAGTTTTTCGTTTTTCTTTACTTTAACGGAGCGTGAATGGATAATTAGGTTGCGGTAAGCGACTCGCCGTTCCTCATGCCTACATTCCATTGACGAATTCCTCTATTTCTCACTGTATATTTCTTTCCAATTTATGTTTTTCACTTAGAAATTTCAATGTATTTCTTTACTGGTAGTTACATTGCCACACAGCAACATAAAATCTACGTATTATAATCGAATTGAAGTTTTACCTATATTGCAGATAATGAGTCTCACAGTAATTATGATACCTGATAAAAATCAAGCCGTTGTTATTTCGGAAAATAAAATACGAAGCTGCGTAGATTTCTCAAAAAATCCAAATGACCAAATCGATGTTGATTAGCCCCCCTTGTTCTCTTGCTTACGTTGAAATGCAACCGAGATAAAAACTTCAGGTGAAGGAGCTAAGAGAACGCAGTTGGAGTGCATAACAGATGCAAGTTTTCCACTTCGCATGGAAACCGTTGGTTTAGTAGATCAATAAAAAAATCCATGATATTTGCATAGAGTTACGACACTCTTACAGATACTAACCATTTTGAATTTTCATTGTGCAAGTCGTCGTTTCTTAAATACACAAATAATAGACTATTGTGGCTACGAAGATTCCGAAGAATGTGTAATGAACAGTTTTCGTGAAAATCGATGATAATGTATCGAGCTTGAGCGATCCCCGACAATGCTTTTATTACAATTTGACTCGTCTTGCAATTCTCGCTTTGGTCAGAAAAAGTTATTAAAATTACACTTTCAACAACAATTACTACCAATTCTAATAGTATCGATAAACATGTAATTAACAATTATTTATAATTAATTACAAGGGTAAATAAACGCATCATCAAGTCGTCGAGCAGGCGTTGCTCGTAAAGGATCATAAATCAAAAAGAGCTTCAAGGTCTGAGGAGATTCGACAGAACAAAGACCACGGAGCAATTGAGAAAAATGTTTGGTTTGTTGTGCGGCTTGAGAGATGCGACGGGGAACAACGGACGGGCCGCGTAATTTGACGTAGACACAGGGATTTTCAATAGACATATTCGCGTCTTAAAAAAAGAAAAGAGAAAGCTGATTTATAAAATATAAAGTAACTAAATGAGCCTATGGATGGTAACTGGCCCAATTTGTAATGCGACGTTGCCAATATTATTATAAGGATTGTATTCCGTTGAATGCAAAGTAAAATGCCGCGAATGTTAGTAAATGTGTGGAGGAAAAACACCGTGCTCATAGTTCGCAATGAGACCGGATTGGTGTTCTCAGAGACCCTGCTCGACTCGTTCACGTGGACGAGCGCATTGCGCGTGATCGTTGCCGGAACGATGAGCAGAGGACGAGGAGGGAGGGCCAGGCGAATTCGGCGAGATACGGTGCGCAGCGAAATAGTAGATTATGTACCGAGGTCGGCAAAGTGTTAATAAATCCATAGCAGGTGAAAATTGACATTAAATCTCACGCGTTATAGACTTACCAATGTTCCGGAATATCTCGGCAGTGGTATGTATTCTATTATTCTATTTTTTTTTTGCCCAGCGAAGCCGAAATTGGCATGTTACCGAGGGGGCCGTGGCCAGGAAATGCTACTTTCGGGCCGCTGGACAAAGCAAGCAATTTTTAACGGTAACATGCTAATTTCTAAGTATCGGTAAGCCCATAGCACGTCTTTGTCAATCTTGGCTTCGCCAGCTCGCTTGCCAATTCTCACGTGCTACGGACTTACCAATACTTTGTCGGCTTGTGTACGTAATCTACTATTTTCTGGAGATTTTGGTTCCCCCTTGAAAAGGCAAGTTCTCTCCGACAATACTTTCCTTTCTCGTACGCCAGCGTTTTTCTTGAGTTTCTAGTTTTTATCTTAGCGATACCTACCTTTGTAAAATATTGGTTTTTTTCCATCTCGTGTGTTTTTTTATGCCAATATGCCATTGATATTTTGCAGTTAAATTTTGGCTCATCTGACTCTCACAATCTCATCTCTTGCAAAATAATTATTTCCAATTCGGGGACAACTTTCTAGGCACTAAATGAGCACATCGTCAACAGACTAATCAAGTGCTCGACGATTTCAATGACTAACGTGAAATCTAGAAGTCCATTGATCAAACTGTCGTAAATATGAAAATAACAAAGGCCAGGCAGTAAGCTTGCGCAGCCGTGCTGTTCTCGACTGGCTTTTGAAAAATGAAAAAGATGACGAAACAAGAGCACTCGATAGGGCAGCGATGGCAGCTCAATCGGTGAAGCTTAGATAAATAACAAGTCAAGTTTTTCAATTTGCAGCACCGATCCTGGTAATAATGGACGACTCAGGCAGGATAAAGTCCGGGGAGCGCCACCTAAAGGCCGGCAGCGAGTTGCGTTTGCGCTGCGAGGCACGAGACGTGCCCAAGCGCTATAATGAAACTGTCATTTGGACCAGAGGAGACGAGATCCTCGGCGAGGACGTTAGGTAAATAACGCCTTGAAAATTAATTGAAATGTTCCTTCTTTTCCTGGACGTAATAGAACGACTCTCCCTTTCCAATCCACTCGCCCATCGAATGCGAGTCATTCGTTTCGACATTTTTGCTTGCAGTGAGAATAGAACTGTCGAGAATCTAGACGGACGAGAAGTTCAAGTTATTGTCAGTACGTTATTAGTGGAAAGGGCAAGTGCACGACACGCTGGTAATTACAGTTGCGTTGTACCTGAAAAAGCTAAAGCCACTGTTGCGGTACACGTCCTCAATGGTAAGATACCTTTCAAACAATTTTTTTTCATAACAGTATACATTCACGTGGCGAGAGAGGGAAAAGCACAATAAATCGCCGCAGCGCCTGAGCAGAGATGAAAATGGGGCTCGCGACACTCTTTTGTCCCATGACGCACATACATAAAGCTCGATCGATCAAGCCTACGTATACTCTGTTACAGATGCCAATGCGAACTTGTTTTCCTCCTAATTAGATATTTGTCTTGTGCGTTAAATAGGGTATTTAGGAACTAACCAAAACAATAACGAAAATAATCTTGTTTGTTATCGAATTAAAATGTGCAATAACATCGGCAATATTCGTTCTCGTTCATTTCCAAAGTAAGCTTTTCTTTACGATAAATATCAATATCATTAATCATTTTAATAATAAATCTACGTATAATCTCAGCGAAAAACGAATTTGCTCAAATATTTGAAGAAATCAAATGAACATTCATTCCAACAAATAACGCACTCAATATTACATATATAATACTCAATATTACATGAGAAAATATACCGGATCATAGAGATCTTTGCACATAATATGTTATTGAAAATTCAATTAAAATTCAGATTATTTGCATTATTCATTACTATATAATCCTTCATAAAAACATAAACGCGATTTGCAATATTTTTTCAATAATTCACTAATCATCCATACGAAAATAATGCACAAAGGATATTTTTATTATTTGCTCCATAATTAAAAATAAAGATAGTGAATTTGACTCCGGAAACAATTCTTTAATACGAAAACTTACTCTCAGGTAAAGAAGCATAAAAAATTGTTTGAATGATAGTACTTGAACAAAACTTTTGGCTAAAAGTATAACTGTGAATAGATATATAAGACGACACTTGATAAGCTCAAGCTAAATTCAAGAGGAAAAACGGCAACGGATTTTTTTTTTTAAGCTCAGGCAATTCGCAATTGCGCGGATTACGCCTGGTAATGCTGACAAAGTTGATCATGCTATAGCGAGTTTGGAAAGGTTATCACCTGTGATATGTCATGTTTAACATACTTTGGAAACGAATGAATATCGCAGATATTATTTTAAATTTCGATTCAATAATAAACAAATAAGTAATGAAAAGTCTTTTTTTTTTATTTTCATTTATAATTTTGTTAATTTTAGAAATCTCATTGAATTTTCGGATCTCTAGAGTCGTACCATAGTCGACATTTCGGATTTTCCTGTCAGCATATTTCAAAAGCATGAGGAAATATTGAAATCTTAACATGAAGTCAACTCCAGCATTCTTTGAAACTTTTGATATTTTACTTTCCAAGCCCTCTAATATTAAATAAATACATCGGCTTTATAAAGAATTCCATACCATTCCAAAGCATCTTTTCCGGTTCTATCTATCAGGCCTAACTTTGTATTGACAATGAGCTTGAAAATTCAGCCATATATCTGAAATCCTGTTAGCAAATCCTTTCGAGACACGATAAACGAAAAGATGCGGAAATAATTGTTTTCACTTGAATTTTTCGACGCACAACATATAACGCAGATTTAAAGGCGTATTCCAGTTATTTGTGTATTTCAGGAGCTCTGCCGTTCTCTTTTATTCTCAAATATTTTCTTTTACTCTTAAGTATTTGATTTGGGTTATTGGGTTCACACGCTAAGATGTCTACTTGTCTTTGCCTAAGTCTACGTTATTCTTATGAAAAACTTGTGATTTAGTGAAGAATTGAACTATGAGTTGAGAAGAGTACAGGACAATTGCTGGAATAAAATGTAAAAGAGTGAAAAAATATTAACATAAGAAAATTGGCCGCAGGGCAGAACAATCAGCAATATGTAGTCGACCTCAACCGAGATACCGCACCGAGACAAACCGCATTTCGCATAATTCTTCGTGAAGTGCAACTGATTCATATATGCGTGAGGCAAAACGCGTGCAGAAAGAAACTACTCAAACGACCTAATACCGCGCGAAAATAGGGGCACGGCATACAACAACAGTAGCTGTGAAAAAGGAAAAAAGACGACGACGAAGGAGGCAGAAAAGCCCTATCGTCACGAAACCTTTCTGGCGAACGCGTTCATTCACTGTTGGACGTGACATTTCACACGCTCGCGCTAGAAATTCAAATGTATCTCGCTCTCGTTTGGTGCGCGCTTTTTTCTCCCTTGATATTTTTCTTTTTTTCGCGCGCATCAGCCGCGCGCATACAAGAGATGCAGAAAAAAGCACTAATGTGACACTCGGCTCCTACATTGTGCCGGAAAAAAATAGAAAAGCGAGCAGCTGCGAAACGCGGGTTAGTGTTAAATTTTTAATAGTGTACGCGAGCGTTACTTTGAATTTTCGCGCTTTAAATTGCCCTGCACATTAAGGACCGCGTAATGGCTATGGCGTTACAGCAGCTCGAATGCCTCGCTACCGAAACTATTGTTCGTAAATGCTCATCTGAGGGCAACTTTTTTCTTTTTTTTCTCAAATTGATCAATTTTGTCGTCAGCTTTCGCGTTTGTTTCTGACGGAGAGGCATTTCGGTGACTAGGTAAAATAAATAAAAGGCTGTAAAGTAGCAGAGAGGAGGTTTCTTTATCGAGACACATGCCTATATCGTATAGTAGAACCGGCGAGAGCACAGGGATAAATACTCTGATATTCCGCGCTACGAATGGTCACAGACGGCACCAGACGCATACGCAGTCTTCGTACAAGCAAACATACACACACACACACACACACACACACACACACACACACACACACACACACACACACACACATATATATATATATATATATATATAAGCTACTCAACAATTTTATACCAATTTTATTTAATTAACAAAGACATGTTTACACGCTATCACTTTTGAGCTTTATTTGTAAGGCGTAACTTTGAGGCATAACTAATATATTAACCAAATAAAACATTTCTAGACTACTCTGATTTCAACTAAATTCTATTTCTGATCCTGTTGACGAGTTCAAATATTAATTAAATGAGCCTTAACGTGAAGTATTTAAAAAAATAGTCAACTTCATTTGCAATGATGACTTGAAGTAGAACAATCACCATTTGCCCAGTCATTGCACTATTTGTTGCTGCCGAAAATTCCGCATTCATATTTACTTCATTTCAAATCGCTAACGAATGTGTTCCATAATATAATTCTGTCATGTATCATGCACTGCGTAAACAAAATTCTAATATTGAACTAGAAGCCAAAAGCTGTAGAAGGCTTTTGTTCGATCAATGGCCACAATGCGAAGCCCGAGATTTCACTCAATCGAACAATGCACAACTATAAGCTGTTTCTCGCAAATCTTTTCACAATACGTGTCCATATCTAAGTAGATGTTTCTACCCTGCAAAATATAATGTTATTTCACAAAATATAACTACCGAAATACAATTTGGTAGTAGCGCTTTATGTAATCATAAATATATAAACAAATAAAAGATTTAAAAATAATGGCATTTTTTTCAAGTTCTGTTATCATTCAGTTGATTCTCGGCTCAGATAAACACAGTTATCAATAATTTAATTTTCCTTGGAACGAAGAAAACCAAATAAAAAATTTCCTGAACGCGTGATTTAAAATTTTGTTTGAATGATCAGTTAATTGATTAGAAGTAGACTAACCACGACAAATTTAGAAGTACAGATCCCGTCTAATCGATTAATCCATTTAAGTAAACGGTAGACACAAACAAAACAAAAACAAACAAAAAATCAAATAAAAACGAAGAAAATCAAAAAAAGGGAAAAGTTTCTTATCGTTTCTAACAATCAAATAACCCAACTCCACTGCTGGGGAAATCACGAACAAAAAGAGCGTAGGCGATTAATCTGCCACAGATTTTTCACTCCTTTGGTTGATGTTCGAAACGCAGAGAAGAATTTTACCCTCTTTGCAGTCGTGCTTGAAGACCACTAATTAAAGTGTTGGTTCCAGGCTTTAAGCATGGTGGACATCCTTTACTTATTCCAGTTTTATCTTGACGAGAGCGATGCCCTATACACTCATTAATCGCCACGCGAGCAACCGTATCTACGCGATTTTACACAGCTTGTTATAAACTGGTTTTACCTGTGAAAGGGAATGACTATAAAAAACAATTGTCATTTATCAAACGCGTATTAAGAACATTTTTCTTGAAACAATCTTATTCTATTTTTCTATCACCTCGACATTTTTTTATGCATAAACTTTATACAACTTCGCTATCTAACATTATGTGTCCATTATCGCTGTCGGATAATGAATGCGATCAGATGGCTTTTCCAACAATAGATTTTTTGAAACACCAACATTACAAGATAATTAGTTTTTTACAAGAAATAGTATTATATGGTTTCACGGTAAAAATTCGCATCAATGAAAATTTCCTTCATCCTTTAGCAAATATATTCTCACACAGTTCACTCTAAGCATTTAAAACTCAACTCACTAGAAGGTAAGTTGCATTCAGCCGCAAATTAAACATTCAGGAAAACTTTCCGAATCTCGGGAAAACTCTCGAAGCCCAAATCGAATCTGAGCAAAGCTGCTAATAGGTGGGGATGTGGTTGCGTGTTAGCTGCGGTTTCCTCTGATTTGTACAGCACACAAGCGCTATTAAAATAAGCCAGCTAATCAAGCTGGAGAAACCGCGCTCACGAGCCAATTACACCTGGGAGCTTCCTCTATTTTCTACAGCGAGAAATTGTCGTGGTAACTGATGCCACTTCCCGCTGCCTAATTATACCTTGAGTTTATGCTTCTACTTCCTTAGTGTGTGCCATGATGCCGCTTGGGAAGAGCTCTCTTGTGAATCTCTCGCAGGCACTTAATTATGTATATTAGCTTTGTGGCCTGTTGTGGATTTCAGTCGTGAGCGTCTGATGCTATTTAGATGTCTTAGAACATCTTTGATGCCCCGTGACTTGATTTATATCAATTAACGATCACATAAAGATAATTTTGAAAACCTAATTTCGGATAATCTAAAATAAAATAAATGTCAAGAAGCTACGTGCAACGGTTTATTCGAATTGCACTATTCTCCCACTCCAAATTTATTTCGAACGTAGTCTAATCTCTCTTTCTGAAACAAATCATAATCCCACCGAGGCTTCCAATATCTTTTGTAGCCATCCTAATCCCAATCCCAAAGAGAGACTAAAAAACAGAAGCTGCTCCCTTCTTCGTGATACGATTAAAAAATCTAGCTGGAGAGGAAAGACCAGATATCTTGCACGTGGTCGAGTGTAAAATAAATGAAAAATCATTTCTTGGCTTAAGGTGGAATAAAATGCTTTCTTCTTTATAGGAAGGATAGTGCGAGAAGATCAGAAACCCTCGAAAGGAAAAAAAAATTTCTTAACACTCTATAATAATGAATTGATCTGATCTTCAAAGTCATCGTCAATCATTTCAAAGCTTCGACAGATTAATATGTCACATTTAACGAGAAAAAATTTTGTTCATTCTATAACACGGTGAACAATTAAACAGGATTGCATTCAATTTGAAAAACAGGGAAAAAAATTGGCGTCAATGACGAAAACTCATGTCCTGATGAACGAATCTCTTTTTGACCTCTCTCAAGCTCGCGCTCACTAGCAGTCGCTTTCGGAAATAGACAAGTCTTTTTCAGGAGATAAAGCCACGCGAATGGTCAGACGGTGGCGTCGTTGGCACATGCGGTATATATATATATATATATATGAGCTTTTTCGAGAAAAGAAGACGAAGGCGGGAAAAAGAAAACTCGCGCACAAGCGAAGGAACGCCAGCGATTTGACAAATTCAACATCGCTTTTGGAGCTTGGCCAGAGCAAAAGGCTGGTATAGCGACAAAAGAAGAGAAAAAGTTAGGGAGAAAATGTCTTCGCTGTTTCCGACGAAAGGGTGACGATCGTTTGCTATATCACGCTCAATTTAAGTTATCTGGAGAAAAAAAATAGCTACGCGAGACCACACACCTATTTCGTTGAACCTAGATTTCATCTTTGACGCTCGATAATATTTTTACTTCTGTATTTTTTATGCCAAGGGATTCGAAGCACTGCGCCGAGCTGCACGGAAAATCTTGGCGAGAAAAACAATAAAGTATTTTGACCTATAGCGTTAAAAAGTTTAAGCTACTGCAGTATAAGCTGGCTTTGAATAACATGAAAAGTGTATCTACATAAATACGTCTGACTTTACCTGCGGACTTGGTCTACTTCGGAAAATATAAAACCTCGTGGCCTATCACTTCTCTACTTACTCAAATTTCTGAGGGACGTAGCGCGTCCAACTTTTACGTTGAAAACTTGACGACTTGACGACGAGTTTTCAAACATACTTAAAAGGAAAACATTTTTTCGACCATCAGACGAAATCAGATGACGTCCTGGCGGTGTCAGCATTACTAAGTAGAAGAAAAGCTTTCCATAAGCAAGCAAAAATAATACGCGCTGTCATTTCATCTTTTATTTTTCTAAACGCGCAAATTCAAAATACAAGTGTCACTATTTCGTGCCGCGAAGAAAAAAGAAAACGCCTAATGACACGTCAAATCGTCGAAACGCTAACGACTAATACCGTTCAAAAGCCCAACATTTTTTTATGGTGATCCATCACTACTGCAAAGTTATTCTTCTTGTGCGCATGCATGCTAGTGTTTTTCATCGCAAATATGCACGTACGGCTAAAACATTCGTTATTAACAATGAGATAGAGCGGGAATGGTTAAACGTCAAAATTGGCCTCCTTTTTTACTGACAAACGGAGGTACGCAAATTGCAAACTCCACGCATAATTTTACAAATCTTACGAGCGAAATAATCCGAAGTTTAATAAAAAAAAATGAACGGGTAGCAGCGAAAAATTTTCGGTGGTTCGCCCCCTCTCTTTAAGGACCTCTCTCCTCACTCTCTCTCTCTCTCTCTCTCTCTCTCTCTCTCTCTCTCTCTCTCTCTCTCTCTCGCTCGCTCAACAGTCCCTTGCCGCCGTATACGAAAGGACAAGCTGCGAGGCCTGGCAAGCGGCGAGGGAGGCACTCGAATTAATTTTTCGCGAATGTAACGTAAAAATTTATACTTTAATTTACATTTTCTCGCTGACTTTTCTTTTGTTTATTCTATTACACCCATGGCCGACATACTTTTGAAGAATATTAGTCGCGCGTTTTGGCACCGCTTCGCTATATGAAAACGCTTTCGAGCCTTTTTTTTAATGAAGGCTAGCTGGCCATACCAAATTGTCGCTTGACGTGCTTGACAGCTCATCGTAGTCGCACGTGTTGTTACTTGATTCGTTCGTTTCCCCGCGCACACATCTTGGTCGCCGATCCTTCACTAGACATCGTATCGAGAGTTTGATCTGTCACCTTGACGTTAATTCAATCATACCATTCGTAAGTATGGCCATTAGTACCGTGAGCGAGCGCCTAGGTCTTAATAGACTTTTTTATTATGGCACTTTGGCGTTGAGCCTTTTTCCTTTGTTGTCACTTGTGACAAAAGGAAAGAAAGAGACGAGTACACTAAAAGTAATTTGAGAAAAGCTTTCTCCAAAAACAACATGACTCGTTCTCATACCTGCTTATTGCCTACAATGTTATGTTCTTATTTGAATCAGACGAGATAGTTTCTGATAACTTACAATTAATGAGTATATTACCCGTGTCAAGAGTGTATTTGAAAAAGAAGAATACGGTTTTACACATAATATTTTTCTGCTCTTATTTGTATGTGTGTTCAATTCCCATTAAGTGATCATTCTCTTATTATTTATTCAAAATATAGATGCAAAACTTAAGACGGAAATATTCCTTTTGAAATATATTGTCTTTGAAAAGACGCAGAACTAATAGCCCACTTGAAATATTCGTACATGACACGATTACAGTTTGATCAAAATATTCCATTGATTTTCATAATGCATGTATCATAGTGTAAAATAGCATCCGAGTGATTGATTAACTAATCACACGTAGAGAGAGGCTGATTGCAACAATGGTCAGCGCAAGTCTAAACTCACATTTGTCACGTGTAAATGTGTATGTTACAGGAGAGCTGCCAGCCGCAGTGCATGACGGGAACGGAGTCTCGAGCTCTGTCCTAAATCTCTGGCTTATTCATTTAACCGTCAGCTACGTCTTTTCCAGATGACAATTCTAAGGTATAACGCATCAAATATTCCATAGTCCTTTTCTAGTATTATTACCATAATGACTTTTCGATCTACTTAATGTTTCGATTAAAAAAACCGAACGATTATTTATTTTCTTCTGTTAACTCATACACGAGCGGTTTTGCTTTGTGTGCACGACATTCATCATAATCAAGCGTAACTTTCATTCATAAACATCTTTGTTAGTATTCGTACAGCCGCTTTCACGATAGAATATTCAAAAAGAGAAAGATTTACGATCTTTCACCGTGGAAAAGCGCCGGCATCCACAGAATATTTTTTCTTATGTTTTCATCATCTCTTCCGCGCTAAAAAAATTTATATCTGTATTACAAGAACTTTACAAAGAAAATATGACAAATCTGGTGATTTTTCGCATTCGCTGTAGAAGCGTAACGTAAAATGCTTAATTCCGTCGATAGAAGCGTGGCATGCGTCTCCTTTTTTCCTTCCCCTCTTTCCTCTTCACCTTCACTTAATCCGAGTTCCAGATGAGTTTTCAGACCGTCTTATGTAAGAAGCTCGCAGCCAAAAGTTTGCAGGTTTTAGCGTGCAATCTCCGCCGCCTGTACGATAAAGACAAAAAATAGTAGTGAAAGTAAGGGCGCATGCGCGATCATCGTTGTGCCCTCGCGCGAAAGCAAATTAAAAATAGCGGCATAGCGAGTTCTATTGAAATGTTTGCTTTTATGATTTAGTAGGAGTCTTCGATTTTTGTCGCTAGATCCTCAATTGCCAAATGCTCTTTGACAAAAGTTGTCGACGAGCTTGTTCGTCTTGAAATTAAATAGAATGAAAAAAACGCGTAACGCTAATTCCACAAGGCAAAATCCAGGTGTGTTATAATCCCACGATGGCGGACGAAATCTCAATGAGTTAATATTTAAAGTAAAATTATCCAGTAGGCATAGAAAACGAGATATAAAGTAGATTTTTCCTCGACACATAATCACTGGGAATGATAAATCCAGCAGGTGAGATAATAACGGAGAGAAATTTATCCAGTCTCTTAATCATTCTCGCCGCGGATTTTCTCGACTCTCTCCTCGCGCTTATCTACACTATTTCTTCCGCATTGTAAAGTAAAATCTTGAGTAAAGCAGCTCGCGTAAAGTAGAAGCTCCAACGATATGGCGCCTCGTTATTCAGACTGCCATTTGACTCTCTCTAAAAAATAAAATGAAAATTTGTGCTTAAACCGATAAAACATAAATTTGTACTTATACCGCATCGTTGGAATAACATAAGTCTGCGACGTATTAATATTTCCAAGTTTTACGAGGCTCCCATTATAAGGGCATTTGAGCGGAATGAATTGCGATTTCGTATCGCGAGCGCGCGGATAAACTTGCCTCGAGGAAGTTAATTCGCGTGCGCAGCGTTGGATTTATCGTTTCGCTCGTTTAGTTGAGCGGAGGAGAGAGAAGGAAAAGCCTCAAACTTTGAATAAGCAGCACGCGGAATGACGACTGTGTGTTTCTTAAGCAATGCGATAAGTTAATCGATTCGACGCAGTAACTCGCGCTAAATGTCTTGAATATTCCGACGTTTACATTTGACAAAACTAGCTTCTAACGATATTCATCGACCAATCAGATTTCTTTTCATATTCACATGGCTTCGCGCTCAACAATAGAAGATGTTAGAAGGTAATTGTCAGTCAGCTGTAGTTCAAGAGAAACGAACATAAAAGAAGCAATCAATGCCGGTAAATCGCCAAATGCCAAATTGAAGAAATAGTAGCGGAGCACAGCAACCTTATCACCACATTCATGCGCACGCATCATATGAATAATCAGAACGGCGAGTTGTCGCGATATCGCAGTAGCAACACTGTAGTCGGCTAGCAGGAAGTGGGCGCTTAAAAATCCAGCGAAGCGCATAATTCAGCACCTGCCAGACAGCAGCAGTAGCACCGACTTAGGCACAGGAATTAGGATTTAACACGGAAACAGCAGCACACGCGCCTGCGTGCGTGTACATCGCGCGCTTTCATTATCGATTATCAGTTGCCATGTATCACTCGCTACACCAGTATTCGCCGACCAATGCTCATATGGGCTGCTCTGCGCGCACAGTTCGTACGTGCGCTCGTACCACTGACCCTCTCGTCACTGACTCTTTGCAAGCCCGACTAACGAATATCGAAGACTAACTTTTACGATCCAAGTACTATGTTAGATTTTCCAAGAGTCGTGGTCATGGGCACGTGCAGCAACTAGCCGATAACGATAATTACGTTTCGGATTTCCAAATTTCACTCTGATCGCTTGCTCAATTATTGAGTAACTGTTGGTAAGTCATCCATAATTTCGTAATCGTAATTGTATATTGAATGGACCATTCATTGCCGTTTTTAGACGATTTATCAAATGAATACTTCATCATCAGATTCACTTTCAAATGTATCAAATGATACGATACTCGATCGAATGAATTAATAATTTCGCACACGCAGCTGAGTTTCGTCAATTTCGTTCTTTACTGTTGAAACTCGATCATTTTTATTCCAATGTTATCCAACTATCTTCAATATTGTTTCAAAAAACAAAATCCTCGAATTTGCCATAATACCATCGACATAATTTCACGTAACGAAGACGCTACACAAAGAACAGTTTAAGAACATAATCGGTCTAAAAGCTTAACACATGGAGTTCGAGCTTGATCCATGTTATCGATAACTCTATACTAAACATTACAGCGGTTTCGAATCAAGGGGCAAGACGAAAAAAAAACGTCGAACTATCAGAGTTAAGACACGCGACAGCCAATGACACGATAGAGCAAATTTAATATTTCACGCCAATACAGGTTGCGGTGACTCGATCCAATTATCGACGTGTAATCCCATTATTTGCAATTATAGTATACTGCAGGAGGATCTGACTAGAGGCAGTCTACGGCGTATACATGCGTTATTGCTTCCGCTTTGCTGTTTGTCGGCTGATACGGAGAGAAATGTCGGGTGTTAGCAGGCGACACGAAACTACCTCAACGGATTTATCTGCACTTAGGCGCGACAGACTTGAATTATATGCCCGCTCTTTCCAGTGAGAATCATTGATTCGTGGAAATCAGCCGAGATTTCTCTGATTTAATGCTTTGCGCGAGATACAAGGATAGAATTTAAATTCTATTGCTTTAATATTTCATGGTGAATGCCAGTTTATTTTTTAATCGTTACTTTTTATTCCGTACACAATAATAAGAATTTTACAATACAGACTTATAATTAAAACTTATTTCTAATTGAAAATTACAATATCAATTTTCGTAACTATGCTAACTAATCGAAAGCAATTATTCATTGTCAATATTAATAATGTCGAATTATTTTGATGATTCGATTTGAATTTTTATATTTGATAATATGGAAAATTTATAAATTTGAATAGTCTTTTACATCCAGCTACGCTCAGAGAGGGAGAGAGAAAGCTTGCGATCAATCACTTCTACTCAGTTTTCCACTCATCCAACTCCATCCATCAACGATGAATATTTTTTACTGAACGTATCTACCATTATATATAATCAGCAACAGCTATATAAATATTTTATGAGAATAATTTCGGTAAATACTCGATATATAAAGTAATAATTGCATAAGCAAGTTACCAATTCGAAAGTTATAATCGTCGTTAAAACAACGATATTATTCTTAATAGTTAAAAGATCAAGCAATCTGGATTTTAATGAAACAATGGCATGCTGTGATAAAGCCTGTAACTAACCAAAATGTTTACGGTCACTGGATATAAGCAGCCAAGCGACACAAAAGCCCAAATAATTGGCAAGCTTCGTACGTTATTTTGCATTGCACAGCTAACAATTTGGGGCGACAAAATTGCATGGTGCAAACCTTACCTGTTGCAAAATGTTTACCTTTCCGAAATATCTAGAGTACGCTAATTGATTTCTTGATTGAGTTTTGTAACACCGATGAGTTTTATTTTTCTATTATATATAACTATTTTTCTATGCGGTAACAATTTTTCAAACTACAAGTTCAGTACCAAATAGTTCTCACGCCGTAATTTGCAAATCGGATACCCGAAAAAAGTTAGAGTGCGTGTGCTGCACGAACCGGATACTGCAATCAAACAAACTACAAATCACAAACTCGAAGCCATTTTATCGATTGCAAGTCTCTCACTCATCGTATTTTCCACCATACGACATTTCTAGGTCACTTTTCTTCATAATCGAGTTGCGCGAAATCCACTCGGCGTTATGTCGAAATCTCTATGCATTGAGGAGAACGTATAGGCATATCGACCAGTGAGAGACAAAAAATACAAAATAAAAGAGAGAAAACCCTTTCCATTTCCGATGTGTGACAGATAAAGCAGTATCGATACTAGCGATGACACTGTGAGCCACAGAATTTAAATATCTGTTATCCTTCGGCCACTGCGCATCGCAGGAGTTTCCGCCAGTAGGGCGGAAATGGGTTTTTCACACTCGGAACTCCCTTTTTTTACTTCTCACTACACCAACTTGATTGAAATTTACATTCGGTTCATTGTATATTGCGACTAGATGTTTATATTTGTGTATTTATTTTTTTAATGTGAAAGGAACTCCACGAAAATTGAATTATCGTGAAATGCTATCGAATGTGACTGATAATATAGTTATGAAAAATGCTTCGTTCAACCTATCGATACTGCATCGTCTAATGGAATTTTCAAATCTTTAATTGTATCATAGTTTTATTTTTTTATTTATCAAGGAATGTTTTTTTGGTATAACTTTACAAAATAATTATATGTCAAAGATATAACTGTTTATCCGAGCAAAAATAACACCAGATGAAATAAAAAAAACCATGACTTCATACACTTAATATCTCAATCCGCTTAAGTATTACGGTCTAGTAAGAAAATTGAAGAGCTTCATTTTAGAGCCGTAGCTTGAAGTTCAAATTGATTTTATCTTTTGCGTGAGAAGTTTCCTAATTAATTATATTTGCAAACAAAGTTGTTTGAGCGGTTAGCCGTAGGATAAACTTGTCGACCGTAACAACAAAAAACAGAATAAATCTGTGCTATCGCAAAATCAAGTTTTATTTTCATCCTTGTTCGTATCCAATGTAGAGCATAGCAATTTGATCGTTTTATGAACATTATATAACGACAAATGTACTGCGAGAAGAGTTGCTTTTTACTACCTCCTAAATATCAAATAAGTAGGAATAGTGGACATAAGGTCAGCAGCTCGGAATTTGATTCGAAAAAAAATTAATTTAATATCGTCGGAAATACGTTGGTTAAAGATATTTTCTTTATTTTTGTTTGATGTTCGCATGCTGGTAGCCATATTTTATTTTCTGTCCTTTGACCATAAATCAAAAACTCATTTTTATAAAGAATATCGAAAGCACTCACTCAAGATTTCGATTTATTTATCAACAGATTGCGCGACACGCAAACAACTTTTTCGTGGCGGCTTGAAAAGCTCGCCGGTAGAGCAAAGGCATTTCTCTAAGTATACTCGAAGTAGCAGAACTAATTGAAAAAGTCGTTTTCGCGTGTTTTTCTTTTTCCAGTGCCTCGTAGCTGATGTACGAGTGTGGCCGAAAAAACCACGAATTGGACATTAACTCACCGTGAACCCCAGCTAGAAAACCAAACTCCGACTCTAAAAGAAGTGAAGAAGTTAATAGTGATATGCTGCTACTAATTTAAAGATACGAAGCGAATAGGAAGAAGAGGTGGGATAGAAAATTTAAAAAGCAAATTGATGAAAAAATGACCGATATTTAATCGAAAAAAGAAGAGTTTTTGGTGATATATACATATGTTGCGATTAAGATTTATCACATATATTATATATCTGGAATAATAATTCGATTTATACTGACTTGTAATTTTTGTAAATATACACACGTGTTTCGTTAGAAATAATAAAAGAAGAAAAAATTGTTATGTCGCAAGCACGTCATCGAGTTCTTTTATGAATTTTATGGACGTATAAATATCGCTGTAAGTATTTGGATGGAGAAAAAAACATGATGCATAAAGTCTACGTGTTTTGATACTTTGTTTACGAGGAAAATGAACAATATTGGAATAAATATCAATTAAACGTTCTTTATCTAGTAAGCCGTTATTAGTTTAGACCTTCATTCATGAGCTGTGTAGAAAGGATTTATTTTCGAGAAAATTGTCCTCTTAAATTGCTATGAATTGTTTGTTCGTATAGAAAGGCGGCGGAATCCGGTAAAAAAAATAACATCTACATACAGATCCGTCTTAGCAGTTATCTTTATTCATAAAATTGTCGATCTTTTGGATATATTAAGAATCCCTCATCAGAATACGATAATTCATAAAAGAATACATTTGTAAATTACATCCATTTGTTATAACGTCGATGAGTGAAAAAGCTTAACTTATGTAGAATAAAGACCTCTACTTTTTTCCACTATATATATAGTCTCTTTCCGATAACTTAGAGCTGCACTTACATCTGACAGGAGCGTTCAGTGGCTGGAAAAATCCAAAAAATAATTGTAACTTCTACTGTATTACAAGTTTAATTTATCTGACTATGTTTTCATTTGGTAAAATTATGTAGACATGCGAAAACCGCAGAGATGAAAAATTCTTGTAAGAATTGTCATTATCTACTTTGTAACCAACTAAGTCTTTATTCTTACGTTGTAACTAATAGTTGTGATTTTATAAATATATTCTCTTATGAATTATTCCCTTTAGTTCTGACGAGAACGATTGCTGAGATCTCCGAAAAATCGTCCAATCTTATAAACACAGATAACTACTAAGACAGATCCGTGTGCGAAGTTTGATTTTTATGGCACAAATTAAAAGCGAGCGATGTAAATCATTTTGAAAATGAAGCGCTTTCATATAAGTTTTGAGCACGTTAACTGATAATAAATGGCAAAGATACGAGTTTGAAGTTGAAGTGTGAAAAGTTAATTAGTACGTGTTTAAATATTTCATTCAGCCAAATCATTTTAATTGTTTAAATTTGTGATTTTGAAATCATAAAGACTAAATATAACGAAATCATCTTACCGAAAGATCAGTAAGCTCCAACATACATTTCGAAAGAAATCAACGTGTTTTCCATTCAGCTAAATACCACATCAACAGTTTTCGCCAATGTCATTACCAAATCACCGCGCGAACCTTAAAGTTATATCCAAGCCCACATTAAACACACCATTACGTCTTTTAAGGATACTTGCGAATCTTTAGCAAGCAAGAGCTACAAAAAAGGGCCGTCAACCCATGGTGGTATCCTCCGTCACGTAAAAAGGGAGAGGGAGAGAGAAAATATCTCAGCTGCATCAACCAGTCGATAATGGTTTGCTCGCTCGCATGCCCGGTGGGATTACGTGGAACTCGGAGGCAGAATTAGGTTCATCCAATTAATCAAGCTTCAAGTGCGTACCAATTCGCACGCGCTGCTTATCTCAAACCTAGAGCTTTTTTCTCAACTTTCCTTTTTTACTACACTCAATTTGTTGTGCGCGAGAGATGCTTTATTGTGTTTCGGGGGGTTGTTTGCTTTTTTACTACCTTGCTTCCATTTTCTCCTTTTATAGTATCCTTTGAATGAGATTAGCATTCACAAGATTCGAAGTTAGCTTATCCTTTTTCTTCTTCTCACAGTCGAAGGATTATAGTTGCGAGATATGTGGCGAAAAAGATGAGGTAAATTATCATGAATCGTGCGAGACTTACACTTTCGCACGAGTATCCTTTTTTTTACGACTTGAATGATGAAAAGGGAGAAAGTTTTGTTTTTTAGTGAACTGACGTATTATTAACCGACGTTACTTTCTTTTATCGCGAGTCGTTTCAATTCAAATTCTAAAAAGTTTTCTGATTTTTACTTGACTTTTAATTGAAAATTAGCTTTTCGAACAAATGATTATTTCATTTTAATCTTCTATTATTATTATTTCATAGTAATTCATATGAATTGTATGAGAATTGAGAAAATCTGAGAATACCTTTCGAACGAAGACTATCTTTGACGGCAACATGCAAGACAAGTCAGCATCTTCGCATCAGTAAAGTTGAAGCATAAAATAAAGTTTCGTCAAATAACAAGGAATTATCATTTGCAGTGTATCTAGCTTTTTTAAGTCTGTCGCGGGTGGCGAATTGCATAAAACATATCTCCATTATTTCCGCGTATCCTGCTCCGGAAGCCTACAAATAGACTATTTATTATTCTGCGCCACCGGCGAACGTAACAAACAGAACGCAATGCTTCCAATTTTCTATTGCGTCGGTGCAGCTCTTTATTTTCGCTCACGCGAATTTCGCAATCGATGTTAAACGTCCTGTCCCCATTAAAGCGTGCGAGAATTTATTGGCTCTTAAAAAATATTACGACGATTATAATGGATGTTAAAATGCTCGTGGAATGGCTTTTTGTTGTTTCCAACAATGACTCTCCAAAGATAATTATTTTGGGAGAGTGTTGCGATAACGAATGCAGAAAAAAAATGTTTTATTTTGCTTTTCCAATATTATTGACGATCATGGCTTTCTGTCACATAAATAACGCAACAACGAGCGTAATTCTCATGGGCTATTGCACGTCATTATAGGAAAAACGAATTATTCCCGCTATTATAAAATAAAGCAGTACGCATTCCACGCGCTTTAATAGATACTCTAACAAAAACTAAAAAGAGAAAAAGACCAAAGCTTAACGAGTTATCTGGCCTGTATGCTTAAGAGAGCCACCGTTAATTAGGGCCAAACACCGTCGAGGCTGTTGCCTCGCGACATTGCTAACGGTTTCGCAGTTTTACGTCTCGTCGTCGAGTTGAATTATCTTACGGTGAGTAACACGCGATTGCGCTGCGAACTATTATTCACATCAGGAAAAGAGAAAAAAACAAGGTCTAGTGTATCGTGTGTAGCCCACGGGTCATCGGTTTGCGATATAGAGAGGAAAACAATTTTTTTAAAGCATTTGGAATTTCATTTAGAATTGATATTTTTGTATTCGAATGATATTATATTATGTATGTGTGAAGAAATGAAATAGTAATGTATTTACGCTTGATCTGACAAATCATTACACGTCAATCACTTTTAATTGAAACGGCATTCAAATTAGGGGACTGAAGCGTAAAACGATCGAATATACCGTTGGTTATTTCTGTTGTGATTGGAAACATTGACAATTCATTCTGTGTGCTTACCATTTTGTTGATGGGCACACTCATCCCCACGCAATCAAAATATCGAACAAATTGCTCAACTTTAGACAAATCAAAGTATCAACACGCGAAAGAAAGGACTGAAATATTTGTATTTTAAAGTAGCTTCAAATCATCTAATTTCACTTATGGAATTGATTCTACATAATCCAATTGTAAATCTGTAAGTCGAGTATAAAAAATTTATAAAAATTTATGTGATTATATTTAAGGAAATGAAAATTTTCATCTATAAGTGAAAAACTGATGAAACTAAAAAAATATATGAAAAATAATCATCCTCATAGTTATGCATTGTGATGTAAGAAAACGTATCAAGAATAATGAGGGTTATATAAATGGCGTGCAACTATATTAATGAAAAGTTGAAGACTTTTGTGTTTACAGGTACGTGAGTTAAATATCGTTGATCATATACAACAAAAATTACTGTAAAATATATTTTTGTATGTAAATACAACGTTCCTCCTTGTTATCGAAACCACGTAGACCTATAAAATTGTATTACGATATTGAAAGAACAAAAAAAAACATAAGCTTGGATATACATCAGTAGTGGCTGCATTCAACTTGCATCTGATGACACTGCCGCGTTGCAACGCTGAGGCAATCAATTGAATCTGCAGACAGACGATTTGAAAATTGATTGAGTTTTCAATATGTCCACAAGTGAGGCGCGAGAGAGAAAGATCTATATATGTATAAACTTGCGCGCGCAAAGATTTTATACGCAAAGTTAGAATGAGATTCACTGGGAAACTCGAAGCTCGTCATAATTGTAAGCTTACCTTAAGAAAACGTCGGGGCGAGGACGAGGAGGAAAGTTTCGCTGGGAGTAATCAACGGTAGCCGTTTTAACGTACATAAGGTAAATACTCAAGCTATCAGCGTTCCGAAAATTGATAACCTCTTTCAATTAGATGAAAATTTAATTAAACTGTCGGGACCACGTTAGATGGACTTTAACTGGGCGGTATATATATCGTTGACGTTAATTGTTGAGCAAATTGGAAAGTTACGTTAGCTTTTGAAATTTGAGTACTCGTTTTCAATCAAATCACGTACTTTTTCTAATTTCCAAATGAACATCTATCGCATCGATATACAGCTGCAATCTCTGGAGTGCAGCGCACGCACACACGTGACCTATGAAAGCTATATACGGACAGAGCTTATTCTCTGTGCAGTCGTATCAAAATGTCAACGGAAAGAATAAACACAGAGAGAGTAGAGTCGGCCTACTCCACTCGAAGGGCGCGTATTATCGTGGAATATCGACAGCTGGTGTCGATAGCAGAGACGTTTACCTCATGCGCGCTCTTTGTACATATACACCAATAGGAGTGAAAGAAGGGTAACAGGAAATCTAAATAAGCGATTCTCTCGTCGGCGCATAAACTTTCATGAGAGGCTTCTCGATTGGAAATTCGATGAGAGCAAATTGGTTCCTTGCACGTTGTATTTTATCGCCTGGCCTATCAACATTTTAACGAGTCACAGCGCAAGCAAAGCTTCGGAATGTTGAACGAACTTTGAGATCGATTCCTCGGGCAATGCACCCGTCCATTCTCATTGGTTTATTATTATTTCACAACAGTGACGGTGCTGCTCTGATAACATTGTCTAAGCTTGCGATTAATGACGTTGCTTATGATGTGGCTATAGTCATTTATTTATTTGATCATATCGTTCAAGTATCGATTGAATTCGACCTTTATCAACAATTGGCGCGTATGTTTCTTACGAGGAAGTTTAACTTGGATTTCTTACGTAGATTCCACTTCTTTCGTTTTGGAATAGTGTATAGAACACGTTGTATTATAATATTACAGTTTAATATATAAAACTCTTACAAAACACGCACGTCGCATTTCAATAATTTTATTATGCCTATAACATTATCCTAACGCAAGTTGAATAATATATGATAGATATTATCGCTCACTTGCTTTCTTTTTCGTAACAAAAAGTAAACAGAAACAAAAAAATTGAGTATGTAAATACGTCGTAAACCATACAAATTGTCAAATGCGTTCTGGAAGGATAAGAATAATAAACTTGATATAAGCTCAAATTTCCATCCGACTTCATCATTTGAACCCACACCTGTTAAGATCTATTATGTATATTTGATGACGATCATTAACATTAAATGCCTTGTCTTAATAAAGGTAGAGCTTGTATCAGCTAACTCGATAGGATTCTATATTTTAGATTGAATTATATTATTTAAATTACATAAAAATCATCAGATAAATATTTCTTCCTTGACTAATTTTGACCTAATTATTGTCAACGAATCGTGACAATTTCATCGACTGATCAGTTTTAGAAATATTTCGAAGCAGCAACATTACTTTACGAAACATAAAGTTGTGTTAACAATGTATTAGCCACTTTTTCAGCATTTTTTTCATAGTATCGTATTTTGTCATTTGATTTAGCAATTTTGGGGTGTAAAAAAAGAGCGTAGAGTATTGAAGAAGATGATTTAGAGAAGCTCGAGATTCAAAGATCGGGTAGTCTAAGTGTCGAAGGTTTACGAGTTCGGCTACTTATTTAGTTTAAGAAAGGCAATGGGACAAGGCCTTTTGCTGCTAGCATTTGGACCGTATGTTATCGACAAGAGCTACGAGCGCTTAAGAAAAGGTAATAAAACATAGGGAAAGAATTGATGAACTGAATGATAGTTTGCATCAGTTGTTGTGAAGACAGACAAGCTTTCCGTTTGTACATGTTTCGATTTCCCAATAAAAACAAGTTTGCCTTTCATACTTAATTATTTGGCTTTGAGTGATGAGGTGATTTCTATCGAAGATGTTTTGGAAAATATTTAATTGATTTGTCACATGTCACAGCATGTGTTACATTCACTAACAAAAAAGGTAAATAAATGTAGGTATTGCTACAGGTATTTCATTAAGTGTATAATAGGTAGAAATTAGACGGGCACTAATTTTATTTAAAAAAAAGAAAATAAAATACAAATCGTAGAATTGTTATTTTACAGAATAAAATTACGAAATTTAAACGTAAATGTCAACCTAATTAAAGCTCGCTTCGCTCGTGTGCAAACGTCTACACGAGGGTCAAATCATTTTCTCGCAATAGTATATATCGAAATATACTATTACAGTTGTGGATAGCTTGCCACCCCGTTTCGCTAAATAAGATTGAAATGGGCATTCCAATCTGCTGAGCTCTGGGGAAAGCATATCTATTTATCGATTTTTCTAGTTTTTTAGCCTTTTACGTGACACGCTTTACATAGATCATAATTAGGCGAGTACAAACAAATAACGCGTTTATGGTGAATTCTCTTTCTCTTTTACCACTCTATTTCTTAATTTTTGACAAAGCGAACAAGTCTATGCATGTAAGGAGGCCAGTAGAGCCGAGAACATGTGGCATTTATAACGTGTGCAGGTCACGTGCTTATCGCAATTATTTTGACTTTCGGCTACGGCTCTTATCATTTTCAGGCAGATCGAGTTGAAGCAAATTAATCAAGCATGTGCTGAGTGCGCAAACTGTAGCCATGATATCGCTTACATCTGCTTATTTTAAACGACTAATATTCATATTTCAAGCCAACCGCGAAAATA